ATGTTCGGCGCAGAGGCGTCCCGTCCGCCAGCCAAGTCACCGCGCCCAGCTGGCGCTCCCACCTGCCACAATCCAACTCGCAGCAACTCACGCCAACTACATACTGATGCCGTCCAAGTACAAGACGCCCGATGCGATCGAGCGCCGGCGGCAGCAGAGCCGCAACAACCAGCGCCGGTACCGCGAAGAGACGCGGTCGTACCTCCAGTCGCTCCAAACCGACGTCCAGTCGCTACTCCACAGCACGTTTCGGCTGGAAGGCCAAGTCGACATGATGCGGCAGAACGCGCAGCGGCACTTTGCAAAAGACCTTGCGCGCGTCGAGTTGTACTGGCGCCTCTTCATGCACGGGTACGTCGCCGCGCCCGACCAAGACGCTGCACTGCGCGACCTCATGGCCGACGACGTTGCGCTGCGTGAAGCGACTGGACTTGACGCCGTCCTCGACCAGTGGCGGCAGTATGCTGCTGCGTTCGCCTTCTTCCGCAAGGAGCCCCTTCGCATGGAGGCGGTTGCGCTTGACAGCGACGAGCACCTCGTTCATGTCGTGGGGACGGTCTCGCTCGGCTTGAACGAGAATGCGATTACGACCTTGTGGCCGCACTTGGGGAACAACGGCGACGAGAACCATATTCGCCACCGCCTCGTGGGCCAGACGCTCACGTGTCCGTGCACGCAGCTCCTCTACATGGGTAGTACGAGCAGTGACGCCGGCGCCAAAGTCCGGCGCATCGAGTTTGAATGGGACGTTGCCGCCGGGCTCATGGCGCTGCTGAACGACCTCGACGATGTCGCGATGGTCGTACACGACCGCCACCAGTGCGGCCTTGCGAGCTCGTTGCCGCTAGCGACGACGAGGTGACTCTAAATGTAATACAGGCGTCGACACCACGGGGGCGAGGCCGTTCCGGCGTCGGGGCGAGGTAGGAGGGTAGGAGGGTCCGCTACTAGAGTGTACTAGTATTTGCGGCGAGTATCGATGAATAGACCAAATTGTTGTTGCGTGTACTACGTAGATCTCGCGACGACAGCGTCTGTTTTTGTGCAGCGACGTAATACGTCATGTGCTACGTTGGTGATCTTGTCCACTCCACCCCGAGTCGCCACCATGACAAACCGGACCTGGATCGGTCCAAGTCTGCGCTGCTTGTGTTGATGAAATGAGTTAGCCGAATCCAACTATTTAGAAAGTAAAGATAGTAGACTTCCTAATGCGCCTGTGAGTTGTGGCCGGTGCGAGGAGTGTTCATACACGGCGCGACGAGCCAAGTGCCGGCCTGGCAATCTCGTTCATGTGGCTGCTTTGACTTCAGCAATTGCTCTCAGGCCGTGCGCGCCACCAGCGCCACCAACGTCGCCCGAGCTGGTGGCGCGCCTCTCTCAACGTAAGTACCAAGCAAGGACACTCGACAACGATGGGAGTGGCGATGGCCCGCAGCGCTCGTTGCTTTGCTCGTACAATAGTACATGTGATCGCAGTGTCTGGGAAGCCTCGGAGATGCGATCAACGCGTAGCTAGCTCTGCGGAATCGACACGGCGACGTGTTGTCGCTGGGCGAAACGGTGGAACGCATTCCATCCAGCACTGCAAAGTGTCTTTACGTTTGACGAAGCCTAGTGTACGGTCGCAGGACGACAACTGAGCCGTAGCAGCTCGCTGGTCGCATCTCGCGAGGCGTGCCGTTTCCAAGAAGTGGAAGAGATTTTCCGCGCAAGGCCGAGCGTTCTAAAAGACCAAGTTCCAAAAGCAAACACACGATACAAGGTCCAAGATACAGGCGCAGAGCAAGGGAGCTCGAGCCATCCACGAATTTGTAGTATCAGTCAAAAGCTAACCCGCCTCGCCCGCCTCTGGCAGGGCGGACACCGACGCGGTTGTTGCCCCCAAGTAGCTCGGTCTTGGTAGAGGAAATCACCGACAATGGGCGGATATGCAAGAAGGCGCCGATGACTTCAACGTAGGCCGCACCACTTCCAGCAACGAGAAAGGACTCGGTGAATCTGCTGCCGGCAAAACGGAAGCTTTTGAGCGCGCTCGAACGGCCCTTGTCGTCGCTGGGCTTGGCGATAGCAAATCTGTCCTTCGTCGTCTGCACCAAGACAAAGACGCCTGAGAACGTCGAGAAGCATCGTCATATCGATATACCGAACGTCCCACTCACTCAATTGGTGCGGAGCGACCACCCAGCTTCTCACCGGACATAAAACGTGCAGTTCGTTTGCTGCTTGCAAGGTATGTTGCCCAAGGTTCTCGTCCGTCGTTCTTGAGCCTCAAGGAACCGACCTCTGTCCATTAATCCGCCGCTTTGCTCTTGTCGCCACCTAGCGAGAGACGCCTGTGTAGGGAGCAGCCACCGTCCTGCCCGAGAGCCTCGAAAGCGACTACGCGTAAGAAGGATCGTCAGCCACAGTACATTTCTATCAGCGGTCCAACGTTGACAACGCTGTTGCGCTACTCGCCTCGACCAGCGCGGGGACCACGAGCTACGAGCTCGCACACGCCTTGTCCCTACGCACAGCCGACGCAAGAAGAATCTGAGTATAATACCGTCACGTCCGCTCGATCGAACACGCCGTCGACGACCTTTCGAACCCTATCAGTCTCAGATCTTATCGCATCATACGTGGCAAGCGCGCGATACCCGCGCTCTGCAAGCAAGCAATCTCGCTGCTCGCAACATAGACTCACGGCACCATCAAGAAATAGGCCGCAAGCCACCTCGCGTCATCGTGATGCCAGCGCGTCCGCGTCACTGGTCTCGTCACTGGTCTCGTCATGTCATGCGAGATGCGCGGTACCACGTCGTGACTCATGCCAGTGAGTCACCTGGTCTTGGCATGTGATCTCGTCATCGACGACGAGGCGAGCAAAGGTCCAGTGTGATTTTACGGGGCTTTATACGTCAAGCTTCTTGCGGCCACGGACGCGTCGTCGTCATCGTCCGCCAAGAGCCATGGGCCGTGGACTCGCGCGCCGTCCATCGCGACCACGGTATCTTCGAGACTGCCGAGGAGCTCTGCCAAGCTCGAGGCGAATGCGAGGTCCGAGTGCATGGACTGGATCTGGCACCCGTCGTGGCGTACGTAGAGCGTCAGCGTCATTGGCACCTAGACATGGAAACAGTGCAATTCGATCAGATAATGTCAACGCAGAGAGGAGGCAACGCACCGCTAGCTCGCGCCCGACGAGGCGCTGGACCATGTCTTCGCGGACCAAAAGGTGGGGGAAGAGGCACTCAAGCGTCCGGCGGTGGAGACGCAAGCGCATCGTGCTCGTGCAAAGCACGACGTCACTCGTCTCGGCCGGCGAAACGGCAATGTGGTGGCACGTCATCTCGAACGCCGCAAAGTACGTGGCGTACCGGTGCCACTGGTCAAAGAGCTCGTCGACGCCGCCCCCGCCCATAAAGTCAAAGCCGTCGGCCGCCAGCAGCGGTCGCAAGGCGGTGACGTCGTGGTCCGTGACGATGCCAAAGCGGCAAATGTCAAAGTACGCGGCGCCGACACGGGCGCTCGCGGTATGGTCCAACGGCCGCTCGGGCGCCGGGTGCATGATGGCCCACGCCTCGCGCCGGCCCTCGAGCCGCGCCGTCGCGCGCCGGAGCTCGTTGACGCTGGCCTCGAGATGGGCGACGTAGCTGCAGACGGCGGCGCGCTGGCGCCGCTGGAGGGCGCGGGCCTGCGCGAGCTTGACGGCGCTCGTTTTTGGCACACGTCGGGTTCCGTCCATGCGGCGAATGCTGGGTTTTGCACTCTCACCGGCGAGATCCCACTCTACTCTGGAAATTTGTATTGCCCGCGCCCGTCAAGTTGGCCACCCGTTTGCAACACGCTCGAATTGCCCTACGCCTTCCTGCTGGTCGTCCTATCACTCGGATATGATGCTCATGGCGACCTTCTACGCTCGACTGCATTCAAAGTATGTACTCGACCCTACTGCGGTAGGAGCAGGAACGTCCAATCGATGGACGATATTCGTTGCAACTTGGACGATGAGGTGCCAATATTTGGACGTTTGTATGTCTACTTTGCCGACAGCTGTGTCCTCCAGTTGGCGACGCAGGTGCTTCCTTCTTGCGCATTGTAGATGAAGGCCTTGGTCGTCGTCATCGCAGCGACCCCGTTCGTACACCAAGGTCCAACGAGCTGGTGGAGTGGCTCTTCTCTTCGCGGCCAGCCAGTGGCGTCATGTTTACGCCCGAGTGTCTCGCGAGACAAGATCTCGTCCTGCGTTCTCCTCGTTGCTGAAGCGAAGGACGCCACTTGCGCGCTGGGCTCTGGACTGCTGCTTGACACGAAAACGAGTGTTCTGTATATTAGCGCCAACTAGGACCCTGCGAGCGCCGCCTCCAGCACATGCATCTCGTCAAGAAGCGCGGCCACTTGGTTGGCGATGTCGTTGGTACCGAGATTGCAACTAGCTGCTGTCACCAGACCGTCGGTAGCGTGACGAGGATCGTACCTGGTCGCGCGCGGGGACGCCATGTCTGCGGCGGCCAAAACCGACTAGCTCGCGTCTTGTGCCTTCTCCTGTGGGATGGCTGACGTACCTGGAGCTGCTCGATAAAAGCAACATACTGATCCAGTGCGGGCTTGGTCTGGGATGTGACGAGGCTGCCCATACCAGACGCGGCGATCTGGTCATCGCTACTTGGCGCGCAAAGCCACACTTGCACTTCTTGTCGGTACTTGAGCGCAAACCTAGCCGCAGCGTGAAGCTATGGTGTTTAGCGACGTCCAAGGGAGCGCACGCTTGCAGCTGCAGCTGCAGCGCCGACACGAGAGCGCCGAGGGTCGGTGGCGCCTGTACGATGGTATCCTACTAGAACACTGAGCGCGCAGAGTAGACAAGGAAAACCTTGTCAAAGGTGGGGTACTGGCGCCGCAGTCGGTCGCATTCGCGCATGGCTGCATCCAGCTCCTACGCGAAGTTTGTTACGTAAGAGTAAGATGCCCGCGTACCGCTGCGATCCGGCGATGCTCGTCAGCTACGGACGGTGCTGGCTGCCCCAAGTACGCATGGAAGCTTGGCGGAAAGAGACCCGTCGTCTTTGTCTCCAAGAAGAGGGCCTAGGCAGGACATGGCAACAGCACGATGATGTGATGAGGGCACCTCGTTGGCGCAGACGACGTTCAAAAGTGCGTTGGCCTTGGCCACACAGGCGTCGGCGCCGTGCGTGGCGAGTGCGTCAAAGCCGAGCAACTGATCGACCACCTGCGCTGCTTTGAAATAGTCCAGGCATGCAGAAGGCAGACCTGCCGGAGGTAGCGGTTCGTGCGGTCGACGCCGAGCGTCCCATCGATGAGGCGCGCGCACACGTCTTGCGACTCGATGCCCTGCACGGTGCTAGCGTGAACACGTGCATTGGCGAGAGCAGTGTACCGTCTGCAGAAGCCATCGCGTCAAGTGCACGTCGGCTTCGCTGCCGGACGTTGGCCCGAGCGCTTGGTGGAGGTAGCCGCGAGCTTGGGCGTGCAGCCAATGCAGCAGCTCGCGCTTGGAGCTATGCAGTTGCAGCGGCGACGCCGAGAGGATCTCGGGCGGGCAGCCCAACGCTTCGAGATCGCGCTGGAGCTGTGCCATGCGTGCTCGATTCAAAGACACACCATTTCAATATCGATACTATTTGGGACGTTTGCATTCAAACTAAAAGGGTGATATTTTCGAAACGACGTCAATAGTGTTCGATCAGGCTGCGACCATCAACACTCGCAGCTCTGCGCAGGGCTCGTCTCGCCACGTGGTCACGCGGCGAGATACTTTGGTTACGCTCGCTTGCCCGAGAGCACGCCAGCAACGATACCAAAGCATCGCAGTCGTGGCCTCTTTTACGACACCAAAGTCTGGCGCGGACCAGAATCTGAATCTGGGAGACTCAAAAGCGTGGGCATAAGCTCAGCTCTTCCCTTGTAGTATACAGAATAGCGCGTAGATGCATTCTAGTTCCTCCTCGCGGCTCTACTACCGACCAGGCGCGTCTCGCTGCCAGCGTCGGCGCGGATCGCAGGTCCATTTTTGTCATGCAGGGATTGGTCAAAAATGTCCGCACTTGACCGAATACAGCATGAGGATTGGTTGAAATATGACCAATCGGCAGCATCGCAACACATTTGGGCAACATGGGCCGGGAAGGGAAGCAGCGCAAGCTCAAGCGCGCCAAGGTCGGCCTCGGGCCCGTCGCTTCCGCCCTCATGGCTTATGGCACCTAGGCAGAGAAGACGGCGGCGAAGAAGAACCGAGGGTCGCATGCCCTCGGCGTCGACATGCGCAAGCTGCGCGAGCAGCTCGCCCGCCTCGAGCTGCAGTTGGTGGTAGGCGCTTGGCCACGCTCGCGAGCTTCGATGACCGCCGTGCGTAGACGATGGAAGCCGATGGCAACTGCTTGTTTCGGTACCGTCACCATAGCCTTCATAGGGCTTATGAAGGGTAGCACGCTGAGCGACCAACTGCATGGCGACCAGACGCACTTTCCCGAAATGCGCAAGGTATGTGCTTCTAGCCCTTGCTCGCAGTGGTCTCCATAGAAGTGTAGGACATTGTACAATACATCAAGGACCACCAAGACGATCTCGAACCGTTCATGGAAGACGAGGAAGCCTTTGATCACGTTTGCAATTTGCTGACGAGGAGGCGACTAACGCCGGGTCTAGTACTGCTCGCGCATGGCCGACGACGGTGTCTGGGGCGGCAACTTGGAGCTCTACGTCGCGTCTTTGCTCTGGCAGCGCCACATTGTCGTCCACCAGGTACAGTGTCGACGACAGTTGATACATTGGCACTTTTCGTCAGGTTGATGGCAACCGCACGACGATCGACTGCGGCCACGCCAAGGCGCCTGCGTGGCACGTGTGCTACTACAACGACGAGCATTACGACAGCATTCGCAGTGTCGACGACGACTTGATGTCGACGCCGCTGGCCCTTCCCCTACCTGCCAGCGAGGTAGCATACTGAGCGAAAGTGCAAAAAAGGACTTTTCATATTGTTATTGCAGGGCAAAATTTGTGTCGAGACCGGCGCCGACACGAGTGCACAGCGCGAGTCGGACCTCAACGCGCTTCGCAAGGACTTTCCCACGATGGATACGGACGAGCTGGCATCGCTCTTTGAGCAGCTGCAGTGCGACCCGGCCAAGGTGCGGCAAAAGCTGGCGGCCAAGACGAAGAAAGCCAAGCACATGATCAAGATGAAGAAGCGACGATAGAATCGAGTTCACACTCGGGATGTGCTACATAACTTTGGGCGAGGAGCTCGCACGTTAACACGGAAAGTATAGATGGATTTCTTCAACTAGGATAAACCCACTGTCGCTGCTTTGTGGCTTCGAATGTCCTTGAAGAGCACTTCGACCACCTACAACACCCATTCTCTTGCCATAAATCCAAAGGCATTGTGAGGTACGTCGGAAAAAGTAATGGCGTTCGTGCCGTGGGGGTCGGCTTGGTGCACGATGTTGTCGACTTCATCTTCCGTCTAGAGTAGTGTCATGCAAGCACATTACATTACGTCAACTCGTCTATACCTTGTAGGGTGTGTACCGCATCATGAGCTCCACGAGACTTTGCTATATCCATATGACCTCACAATAGGCATATTGGCGCAGAAAGCGCACCTGGGAGATGACACCCACGGTTTCAATATCCACTTGCTGAAAATGGCGGCAAAACTCCTCGAGCATACGCAACCGCCCGTGCATTTGGTAGTTGAGCAATATCTAGACAGACGACAAACATTGCCAATATCACTAAACGATAAATATATATACCTTGCGGAACGTCGAAAAGGCGAGGCTGCGCTTGACATTGTTGTCGTCCTGCACGACCTGCGACTCGACAAGCCGCACAATGGCGTGGCACTAGCCTCATATGAGCGCCTTCAACAAAGGTGCCCTTGCGTACATCGTGCGCGTCATACATGTACTTGATGACGCTGTGCCACTCGTCTTCGCTCAAAAGCGTCTGGTCCATGAGCTTGGCTTGTATGAGCTGATTGAGCGCGCCTAAGACAAAATATCCAATATATATAGAGAGTCCACGACGTACCTTCCGACTTGCGCGGGTGCAGGCCTCGAAGGAACGCGCGAAGGAGCGCGACAACAGTTTCTTCCAGCTTGCTCTTCAAGCGCAAGAAGCCTTCGTCCATGTCGTTGCGCACGACGTGGAAGAACGTCGCGACGTCCGCGTCCGATTTCATGTACCGCGTGCACCCCTGGCGACAAATATATATTGATACATTGATACATTGGTATGGAAAAAGGCAATACCGAGCATTTACCTTCATGATGGCGCTCGCATACTCGACAATGAGCGACTGGAGCCCAAAGCGCTGGTTCAGATACGTGTACATGTGCTGCTCCATGGTTTCTTTGGGCGCAAAGTTGGCCGCGCACATCTCGTCGTGCTTGGCTTTCGACGCGTAAATCGCGGTAATCATATCGCGGAGCTGCTTTAACGTGAGGTTTTTCACCGTCGTTGGCGTCGGCGACACTGCGGGCGGCAGCATTGGCGGCTTGCTATGCTCGACAACCTCGGGGCGCCGAGGTCGAGACGTATAATTGTTGTTCTCATGGCGCGTGGGCTTGTCGCGCTTGACGAGTACGACGGGCACGGCCGGTGGCGTCGCCTTTCGTACCTGCGGCGGTGGTGGCGGCGGTGGCTTTGCCGTGGCTGCAGGCGCGACGTCATGCGGGTGAATGCTTGGGCTCCGCGGTCGGTTGTCGCCGAGCTGGTGCCGCAGCCGGAGGTTTTCATCCTGCAATTGAGCGACGCGCTGCTTCTCGATCGCCAAGGCGGCATGGCTTTTCTGGAGGTCCGTCTCGAGGCCCTCGGCCACCTCCAAAAGCTGCTGGAGTTGCCCTGGCGCCACGGCAGCTTCCTAGATATTTCGCGCGTTCCGAGAAGATGTGCGGAACAGGACGGGACCTACGTGGCGGCCGGTCTCGACAAGGTTGAGGACGAGGGCGTGGTACGACGTCATCAATTCGTGGTGTAGAAACGTGAGCGACTGGATCGCGAGGCCGAGCTCCGGGTGGCACTCGCCGGCTTTCTGCGTCGCGAGGCTCGCACAGGCGGCAAGGACTTTGAACTTGGCGTGGAGCAGCGTTGCCGCCTCGTGGTCGCCGGCCGCCAATTCTTGCTTGAGCGACATGGCCACGAGCTCCATTTGCTGGTCAAACATGCGGCTCATGCGCAGCGCTTCGTCCGGTGACGGGTCGCCAATGCTCTTTAGCACGCTCACGATACTGGCAACGTTTCGTACGTGATCCTAGCACGCACACTACGACACTCTTCCGTAGGGTTCCATCATACCATGGGTAACGCGCTGTTCGATGCGGTTGATGAGGAGGATGGCACAGGCTGCAGGGCGTATGACTTGGGCGGCCCGCCAAAGGACAAGGGGGCGGCGTTGAGAATGCGGAGCTTAGGAAGCGCCGCCATCACGAGGCTCTCGTCAGTCGCAGAACCCAGAGTGATGGAGAGACTCTTGAGCGACGGGAGCTGCTGCAACACTGGCAGCACGGCTTGTATCGACGGGAACGGGTTGTGCGAAATATCGAGCGCGACCAGCCGGCTGAGCTGAGCCATCTCGGGCGGAAGCGATGAGAGGTTGTTTTGGCTCACGTCGAGGTGGCGCAGCTCCTTGAACTGCCGGAGAAGCGGCAACAGAGACTCGAGCGAGTAGAGGCGTGCATGCTGGAGAGTGATCTCCTCCGTGCCCGGCGTCGTCGCAAAGACCTTGGCCAGCGTCTCCATTCAAACCAGCGAGCCCAGAACAAACCGTGGCAGCCGAAACGACGTGCCGCAAAAATAGCTTCGTTGAGGTCAAGGAATCGGTGAGGTATTACTATGGCACCGTCGTGCAAGTCTGCATCTCGGCGAATCTGGAGACCTGAGCACCGTCGCTCACACTTTGTTGATGATGCATATTAACGCGCGTGGACTTCATCTGATGAGGCAAGACGTACAGAGACGCGTGTGCTTGACGCTATAAGATCAAAGAGCAAGTTGGAACGGCCACATCGATTAGACGAGTTCTAGTGTAGTCTGCTGTACACTGTGGCTTGAAAGCTGGTACGTGCGGACTTCATGAAGCAAAGCGATGCCAATGATACCGCTAGTCTTCTTCCGACCCTTTGTCCCATCCTGGACGATCGACCGTCCTCTAAGATCTGGAGTCGAAAGCGACGACGACGACTGGCCAAACTCAGATCTTAGGTTGACATCAACAGAGATCGGCCATCAATAATCTTTTGACGTATACAACCGAGTCCGTTGTGATAGGCGCTGCATTTGCTGGCCTCACTTGCGTGTGCAGTACTTGGTCCGTTTTCCGGATAGGCCGGATAAAGATCCATGACGACGCAGGCGTCATGCACCGAGCTCAATTCTGTGCGCAAGTTGAACTTGAAGGCTGGCGCGTTCTCTTTCGAAAGCTAGCACGGGATCGGACCGCGTTCGGGTTGGTCCTTTCTTGTTTCTGTCCAGCTTGCTGCGTCGTCGAGTGCGGGGCCGCTCGTTCATGATTGGCTCGGACACCGTCCAACCGCACGTGTCTTTATGCTTCCTGCACCAAACTTCAAGTGCCTGTAAAGTGGCAAGAGCAAACGGTTCCCAGCGGCGTTCTCGCGCCAATGACGACGAGCAAGTCGCACCGTGTCTTTGCCGTGCTGCCTTCTTCCAAGGCCCAAGCTGAGTTGGTGCGTTTCGCGATGGACGATCGTCGTCCGTGTGCAACAAAAACCCAAGCTTCTCTGGCTTTCAATACCCTCGACCAGTAATAGGACCGAGTGGCGTATACGCCGTACGTACATTGTCGACTGCCAGGCAGTCTCGGACAAGATAAGATGCCAGAGTCAGTACGTCTGCCAAGATCTCTTCTTCACCTTGAAGTGCATTTTCCAACTTCAACTTGCATCCAGTGGTGGGCAACATCCGGTCAAGTGCGTCTTCGGTCGCACTTAAGTGGGCAATTACACAGCGCTGTCACATGAAGCAACCAGAATCCGCCAATCAAACGCGTTTGTGAGCTTGGACTTCAACGAAACAAACGGTGCGTTTCGGAACGCTCGTCTTAGTAGAATGAAAATAAGTTTTTTTATTAACGCCGCCGTGTCGCGTGTTTCGTATTTTATCATGCTACTTTGTATAAACATTAAACAGTTTGTAAAATAAAATCATCGAAAAGGCACCCAATTTTAATGCTGAAACGGCGCTTGCATTGAATCTCGGTTTCGCCCAATTAAATTACGCGTAGCGTATACAAATCCCAAGACAGTTCAAGGCCGAGGGCGTCGCATACAAATGGCCATAGAGCGCGCCGCATATTTTTGCCGGCAAAACCCGGAGTTTTCCCGGTGGCACGCGCCGTGGCTGTTCTTTGGAATGTGATTACTGCGTCCATTTGCCAATTTTCCACAGCGCAGCACATCCCCATGAAGCGGTCCGCCTCGACCTGTATCAAGCGCAGCATTAGCTGCGTCGACCTGCCTGCCCTCGAGGTCGACAACGAGCTCCACCCGCGCAAGCGCATCTCACAGATCCGTCACCGCAGCCTCTCAGCCGCCGACCTGGCCCGGAAAGCGCGCCTCGACGAATGGATCGCCGAGCTCTACGACACGCCGCAGCCCCAAGACGAACTCGCGAGCTTGCTCACGTGCCCATCTACGACAAGCTTTGACGTCAACGCCAAAAGCAAGGACTTTAACGCGGGCATGCAGCTGGAGCTCCTCGACTTCTGGCAGCACTCGTGGCTGCACGACACGACGGTCGACGAAGCCCCGCGCCTCTGTTAAGCACGGCTCCTGCCCTATTTATTCCTCTCGTTTACTTATTTTAACCCCAATTATTCATCCAAACTGATCAACGCCAACCTCGGTCTTGAAGCATAGATAGGCGTCGCCACGTTCGTGGTGCAACGACGGCCGACACCGTGGCCCGCGCCACGCCGGTTGCAGTCCGGTTGCCAGCAAAATGGATAACCTCACCCGCCGCCGATGGCCACATGGACAGTCGGTCTCGCACAACATGGGTGGTCGGCTCTGTTTACCCAACAGTGTTTAACGCCTGAAGCAGCGCGTCTTTTCTAAAACGCATGTGCGTTAAACGTTGTGCCGTCATGAGCTGTGAATCCATTTGTCTCGATATCGACCGCGCTCTTTCTGTATCTCCTCTTCATTGATGTGGTGTGGCAAGGTTTGCTCCTGCACAATGTCGTGTCGGCTTGCGTCGTGGCAACGAGGTTAAACCTCGTGTTTAACGCATGGCGTCGTTTAACGCGGGCGTTTCGTCGGCAAGTTACGTTGGGTTCGTTGTGTGACACGAGTGGCTCCCACCTTGAACCAGCTGGTACGAAGAAATCAAGTAGATGCGCAGCCACCCGGGCCATTCAATTGGCCACGTGGCCAAAACGTCCTACCACCATTGGCTTCAAGGTAGCCAGCCGTAGAGCAGCTACAAGTCTACAAGCTCATCTTGACGCGAGTCTGGTTCGTCGCTCGTCGCTACACCGCTTCGAAACACTGGTGCTGCCACAGCGAGCAGAAATCCGCTAGTGAATTTACGAATCCTCGTGCTATAGAGTAGGAACCTATTATAGCTCCAGGAGGTTCTAGGATCCATGTCGCACCGCCACACCTTGAACAAGACGCTGGTTTTTTCAACTTGCACAGCCTCCGCCGCGCCCGACGCTGTGCAAGTTGAAGCAGCCGCGGCAAACTCGCACTTCAAGCGCGGCATTCGCGACGCCGACAAAGGCCAAGACGCGTGCCTTGCATGATACAGGTGTCCCTATGAGTCACGCCTTGAGCTAGCACCGGTATTATACCGCAGCAGAGCCAGTTGCACGTACGGTACGCAGAGAAATCCAGTAGCGGCGCGGGCACGTACGGCCGCGCCCGTGTCCCACAACAGAGCAGCTCGGAGCGGATGACGATGATGCTATGCTACGCGGGCTTGGTACGCGCGAGAGGCTACGCACCCAAGCAAAAATCAAGCGCGTCCCACCAACATGCGTCGATCCACAGCGTGGGGAGCTCCTACTACGTTAGCTCGGAGGCATCGCAGCGACGTGCAACCGCGCGCATCTATGGTCTTCCCTGTAAATGGAAGCACGTGCGTCGATGACGCCGAGAGGTGGTTTCTTCGAGTCCGGAGCTCGGTCGCCTGGTCCCGCAAGCGTGTACGAAGACTGAGCGTAGTTGTTCTAACGTTAGTATATGTATATGACGGAAACGCCACATCAGATGCACTAAAATAGCAATCCCGTATGAGCACACCTGTGCGCAGGGATAGCAGCGCTGCGACTGACAAGCGGCGGCGACGCTCCAACGCCGTGCACGTGGCCGCAGACGACGTACTTGGTCGCCCTGTCCACTGGCTACTACCCCATTTCTCTGTACTAGAGCTCGTCCAGTGCAGAGGAAGGTCAAGCCATGGAGCTCGAGCCAAGTCCTGTGCGTGCATGCGCCAAGTGCGCGTCCGGCACCATCTCGGAGAGTGTCGCCAAAGAAAACCAGGCGCTTCGGGACGAGATCAAGGGCCTGCGGCACTCGCTCGAGTACCACACACGACGCGCCGACAAGGCCGAAGCGACGCTCCTCGTACGTTTACGATCCCGAGATGCGTTGACCTTGCATAGACGCACGAAGCTGAAGTGCGCGAAGTCTACCGCCAAAAAGAAGCGACTCTGCTGCTCGAGATCACGACCTTGCGAGCGGCGTTGTCGGCCAGCACCGAGGTGCATGGAGAGCGATATTACGACGACTCGATACGGTATTAGGCCAATGAGACCCAAGTGCGCGAGTTCCAGGCGCAAAAAGTTGTCATCGAGCAGGTTTGATGCTGTGATGTCGAGTGGGTTTGCACGTCATGTAGAGCTTTCGGGACCGCATCGAAGCTGTGGATACGAAGTACGTCAACCAAGCGTTTAGCCCCAAAGCTCTCAAGGTAATACTGGCTGGTCCTGGAATCGTAAATCAAAATCGCGCGCTAGACGCCCGCGGTTCAATTGACTTACGACCCCGCGTACACCCGATGCATGTTGTACAAGGGCAACTGAAACCCATCTAGGTTGGGAGCCAACTACTGCCCGCTGCCACCACGCAACCGGGGAGGGTCCAGCGCCATGATCAAGGAGCTGCTCACGAGGTGCTTGATTCATTTATTGTACATGAGTTGCAAGTGCTTTCTCGCGTAGCGGTGCGGCCGACACGAGTGGCGACGCTGCCATTATGACGTCGATCCTCGCCAACGCGCAGAAACACTCGCAGCGAACCCTTTGCCTCCGCGAAGAATAGTCGCTGATGATTATAATCATTTTATGTACTGAGCACAGCTTTTTAAATGATCAAGGTTTGCATATATCGCCACGTATACAAAGGTCGAAAAGACCACATATTGAATCTAAACTACGAGCACGACGGCCACGGCCACGAGGGCGACCAGTGATGAAAGGAGTGACGTGGCACTGCCGGCGCTCGTGACGGTGATGGCCTTTCCGTCGACGTTGACCGTTGGGTCGATGGTCGCACACTGCAGCGTCTTGCTGCCGTCGTCAATGCCCGTCAGCGTCGCTGCAAAGCCTTGGTTGCCGCCCGCCTTCCGCGCCGCTTCGGCCAGCGCCTGGAGCTTCTCGGTCGTGCCGGCGTCGAGCTGGTAGGCTACGGAGTAAAGGTTCGATGCGTTGCCGGTGGGCGGCGCAAGCACCGTGTACTTGGAGCTAACGCACGCCTTGACGTCCACGAGGCAGTGGATCGAGTGCAGCTCGGGGTTGAGAAGCGTCTTGACTTGCGGCTTGTCGAGAAGCGTGCCCATGTCGATGCAGAGGTTGTCCATGATGTAGCCCGTGACTGAGACCGTTTTGCCCGTCGCTGAGCAGCCCGCGGCGGCGGCCACGTAAAGAAGCAAGAGACCAAGTGTCTTCGATGGCATTTCCGTAAATTTTAAAGTGAGCTTGTCAGAGACCAGTACACTGTGAACGAACCGGACGCGAACGGAATTCCGAAGAGGGCGGATACGCGTTGTATCCAAAAAATCTGAGTTTAATTGTTTGTGGTCACTGACTCCACTGACTACTACCAGAGTTCTGACTACTCGTATTAGTGTACTAATACCACCTCTGGGTGCTCGGGTATGACACAGAGTTATCAACAATCACGCGATTGCATATCCGGCACTTGGCTCGCCGCGCCGTGGTGCCTTCGCTGGCCGAGTCGCTCCATGCCCTACGCGCCGACCCTAGGTGTGCTCACTACCTCATCCCTCACTCAATCCCGAGCCCCGACCAGGCGCACCGGCCAAACCTCACGAGCACATTAGGACGTCCACCATCTTCACTATATAATTGCATGTTAATAGCTCATTTCAGCACTGAGTCATCAAGGGCGATACGGGGGCTGCATCATGGGTACTATTATTTACCCCTGGGCTGCATCATCTGTTTGGTTCCTCCAGCACACCCAGGAGCAAAATGTACTTATGAAAACGAACTTGAAGCTGGCGGCGTCTGATTCACGATTCTTGTCTTGCGGTCTTTCTGCAAGGAGCAAGGCATGACGAACGTGCACTTGATCGGTGCTCAAGCGATGGTAAACACGCAAGCTTACTGTTAGTACGAACGAGAGTCGCGCAGAGGTTGTGTTTGGCCACAACAGCCACAAATTCTCTTAGAAAGTACACTTGTTTGAAATGATAACTAATCTACGATCAGTCGTTTTTGCCCAAAACCGTCAACGATGCGTGCGACCCGGGCGGCCATCGTTGCGACAGCGCACAAGTCGACCGAGTCGGCGCCGTTCCAGCTCCTGCTTGACTGCTACGCGTCGTGCGTTCTCCTTTTGGTATATCTCAATATGAACATGGTGGCTATAGTGCCAAGGGCACAGACAACAATGTCATCGAGCTCGAAGACCGGCTCCGTCAGCGCCCCGACGCGGCGTTGAACGACGTTATTCAGGCGCTTTGTGACACGGAGGACCCGGCCATTCGCCTCAAGCTCAGCGTACTCGGGCTCTCACTGACCCCGCTTGTCGAGGTGCTTTTCCAAGCTCGTTTGCCCACGCTGATCCGAAATGGCTGTAGAAAACCGACTTGGTCGTCGAGGTGGTCCACACGGTCGTGACGGACGTGTGGTCGCAGGTGCGCAAGGACGGCGGGCGCTACGTCGCCAAGCATCTGGTGCCAGTGCTGCCGTTGGCGACGCTGGAGGCTGTTTTCATCGACATTTTGCGTCTCTGCAAGACCGATGGCACCGAGTGGCGGTCACTGGACGGCGGCTTCTACCTCCTCGCCATGCTGCTGAGCACGATCAAACGCGTGGGATCGGCAGGCTATATCCTAAGTGGGCACACGCTGGACCACCTGCCGTCGATTCTGCTCACGGACCTCAAACCGGTGCTTCGACTCTAGTATGGCCTACAAAACTCACCACGGGTAGGCGGTCTACAGCGCAATGAAGAACGAACAACTTAGCGTCCGAGAGCACGCGACCGCCGCGATGACCAACTACGTGGCCATTTCGGATCCGTTTACGCAGGTCCCTACTTTTGAGGGAAATGTTATATTAGACACTAGTGTACCTCACTAGATCGGCACCTTTCAAGAAGTCATTAGCAAGCTCCACTTGCACTCGCCGCACGACGTCCTCCCAGCCGCGCACGCCGAAGGTGCGCCTTTTGGTCTAGTATCATCGCTAAACTGCGAAAAAGGCCTCTTGGACGTCGCCGCGCAACTCGTGCCGCACGTTCCCATCACGTTCCTCGCCAAGCACTGGCACGTGGTCTTTCCGACGTGTGAGAAGTACATCATGCACCTCGCGTCTACCGTCCGCCAAAAATCGAGTCTGCTCGTGCGCGCCTTTGCCGAACTCAGCATTTTGGCGCCATCCGAGACGAGCTTGCGCTTATTGCAGTCCATCTTGACGTCGCTCGCGACACCGTGCTCGGTGCACCCGGACGCAGCGCAGCGCGATTTCTTCTGGCAGCGCCTCGAAGGTACGTATGGCTCGTCTCAATACACTCTAGAAAATTCCTTCAACAGGGCGCCTTATGAGCTTGGATGCGGTGCTCAGCCTTCTGGGCCACCACCAGCTCGCAACATCCGTGACGGCGATCGACGCTGTTGAAAGCAAAGCCTTCTTGGTACCGCCACCACTAAGGTGCGCACGCGAGTACCTCAGAGGTATTCACAAGCCTGCATGTAGCGAGCCGGCGCTGACCGTGTGGCGTCGCGTCAGTGCTGATGCAGCGTACTATACGTTTGCCCACGACATGGCGCCGCTGGCGACGTGGCCCACGGAGGCTGCGGCCACCGGCATCTCGGTGGTGCAGCAGCTGGTCGACGCCAAGCTCGTGCGCTTCTCAGAGCTGTGGCACGCCTACATGGACATGACATTCGAGTGTTTTTGCTCGTCCCAGTTTGAGGTACGACGAAGATTTTGTCGTGTCGAAATATGGCGTTGGATTCTGTAGCTCAAACGCATTGCGGCCCAGACACTGCCCGGCCTCGTGCGACTGAGCCTCTGGCTCGAGTCGCCCGAGCTTCTACTCTCATGGCAAGCGCGCCAAGCAGCAACGACGACCGACGTTCGCTTTGTGTGTCTCGGGATTCGCGCGCTCCTGCTGCACACGCGGTTTCTGCAAGAAGTGAGTCCTTGGGGTTGTTCGTCATTGTTGACGCGGGGTGGCGTTGTAGGTGCAGCGCGCGGCGCCGACACCGACGCTGGCGGTGCTCACGGCCATGGCACAGAGTACCACCGACACTATGCTACCGCGTACGCACCGGAATGCAGCTACTCCTAGTTTATAATTGTGTGTCTAGTCCTCTTGGCGAATGACCCGCGGCTGCTGCAAGAAAAGACAGATGTCCTTGCGCTGATCGAAGCGTCGCTCGTCTATTTGGTGCAAGCACCGAGCTTTGCCGAGCCGCTCTGCGCATCGATGCTATCATGCATGGCGTCTCACTGCGCCTTGGCTCCTGCATCCGTGGGCAAAGATCCTAGCCTCGATCGTTCGATGAGGTTCAACTGCTTTCTCTTGCCGACGACTCTCACGTTGTGTCCCTAGCTCCACAGTGGTGCGCTTCCTTCCGTCGCTCGTGCAGGTCATGTCGCCCGCCGTGCTGGCGTCGCAACTGCACCACCTCGTACTGGTCGTGAGCTCGTGGATCGAGCCAAGCGACGACAGCGTACGCTCTCAAGTTTGGATGAGTCTGAAGGTGCTTTGGTAGCTGCGCTGGATCATTGTCGACATGGGCGAAGCCTACGCGCTTTTGCTCGACACGCTTTTACTGCTTGCGGTGTCAACTAGTATAATAAAGAGAGCGGATTATAAAGGACGAGGTATGGCTAGGCGAGAAGCCGCGACGACTGGGACGAAGCGTCGCTCGAGCGCGCGGTCCAAGGGCCGCTGCGCTTGCTCGTCCACTGGAGCTGTCATCCGTTGCAACGCGCCAAGGTTGACCGCCGGCATCCATGCAAGAAACGCTTCATGACAGCATAGATACTGCATCTGATGGAGCTCCTCGCCCCCCGGCTTGGACCATCTCGCCTTGCGCCGACGCTGAACGCACTTCTCGAGCCCCTCGGCAGCGTAAGAGAACGGTGCAGCTTCAGGCTCTAACGCGGCGGTAAATGCGTAGGCTGGATCGAGTGCGGCCGCCAAGGTTCGTTTCGTGCCAAGGGTGCTCCGTTGTGAGTGAAGTGCTAGGACACAGCGTGGGACTCGTGGGACGACGACGCACCCAAGGCAGCGACCAGTGGACAAGGTACAATTCGACTCAACATTATCGTCGCGGACTAGATTCTGGATTCTGGTATCTAGACGCGATTGAAAACGAGCGCGCGTTCTGGAAGCGCTTCCACGCAGCGCCGGTCGCTGAGACCAACGTTGCCGCAGTCGTCGCGCAAATGTGCTCGGCCCAGGCGCAGGCGGCCCTCACGACGTGGCTTGCGTGATCTTATATATATGCATACGCTCGATCTTATATTTTATGGACTAAGAACGTTTCCCGTGTCCCGAGTTGTCCTCGTCTTGGCTTCGCATACGGCATGTCGCAGATCTGAAACCGTCACCGCGATGCGTTAAACGCGCTAAACGCCTGCCACGTCATGCCTATGTAGGTTTTATGGGTTCAACGTCCCTGCGACGTGCATGCCAGCCCTTTCCTCTCGTCCTGCGCTCGACGCCGCGAGTGGGCTCATACTCCGAATGAACGCCGAGCCCACAGCAGGCGGGGAAGCCGAAGACCCTCCAAACTCGGTTGTCGCGGCCGTGACGTCCTTCCAAGGCGCAGGCCAACACGACGGTAGAGGCATCGACCTGGCGATGTTTCCCGTGTGGCTTCCATCCGAGTCCTTTCTCGGTACACTCAGCTGCCTATCGACTCAATACAGCATTTGTGTAGACGAGCTGCTCCGCGCTAGCGCCGTCATCGACGATATTCCACTTGCACTTGACGAGACGACGGTTGACGACGTCGTCCATGGAATCGCATTTAGTGCCGAAAGCTCCTTCGACGACGACGACCTATCTCTGCGACGAGGCACGCTCCGATTTTGCCTCCAAGACGGATGTCGGCGCTACGCCCAAATGAACCAGCTCTGCTACCGCCACGGAGGGCGGCGCACGTGCCAAATCGAAGGCTGCGGCAAGAAAGATCGCGGCAACGGCCGCTGTGTGCGTCACGGTGGCGGCGAGCAGTGTCTTGCGCCAGGGTGTAGTCGCCACGCCCGCGCTCGCCGCTATTGCTATCGACACCGCGCGTTCGCCAACGACGATTGATTCGCAGCTGAGACGCCATCCGGCATGTAATTAGTGTAACTCCATACTACGTTCAAAACTGCGTTGTGTTGAGTTGTGTTCCTCGAGACACCTGCAGATAAGAATTTAATGGATAAGTGGAGGAAGCGAGAATTCCCACAGCTTCTCAAGTGAAGCCCTCTCCACGGTGCCAGGCTCCGCGCCGTCGTCAGGAAGGTCGCGCTTGACACTTGAAGAGCTGCGACGCACACGTGTCGATCGTAGCTGAAGTATTTGCCGATTAAGATCTTGGTGGATCTAGCTCCTCTGAGATCTTACTCCACTGAGATGTGGGATGGTAGAGCAACCGACTGAGATCTGAGTGGATCGTAGCGCTACGGAAATCTTAATTGGCAGCATTTGCAGTCTGTTCTTGTTCAACACTTTGAATGCCAATCAATCGATCAATCGACTAAGATGAAAACAAAACGTTGCAGCGTGAACGACGCAAGCCAGATCGTCAGGGCCACAAAACCGGTACCGCAGAGGATGGAGTTCATGAATGTTGCGCGTCATCTCAGTGATGCACGACATCTCTTATGCAGTAGGCATGGATCAGTAGGAAGCTCTTGAGCTCTCTACCTGCATCACGTGCATCGGCCGCCGATCTAGTCCATGTTTGCTAGTCTCACAGGACCAAAGAAAAACTCGCCGCAATAGCGCTCTTGCTGAAACACGTTCCCAAGCGTTGAAAAACACTTAGAATACATTTGTTGCTTATAGTTGCCGACTTGATAGATAGGTGTTCACTCTAACCTCGAGGATGTTTATAAAAATGGGGATGATAAATAGGGTCGCGACCCCACAGTGAAGCACGCTAGTCGGACGCGCGGCAGATGCGCTGGAAGATCGAGAGCCGCGAGCCCGAGCCGACATCATCGTCGCTCTGGTTGTTGCCGAGGCTGAGGTGCATCAAGCCGAGCGTCTCATCGTCGCTCATCGACGGCGTGTGGTCGCTTGACGTATCGCTGCCGCCAAAGCCGTACTCCTTGCGGGCAAAGCGGGTCTCTTCAAAGGGGGGGTAGCTCCCGGCGTGGACCGGCTGGAGCTTGAACGCCGTCGAGTAGCAGCTCAAATCGATCGAGCCCTCGGCGTCCGGCTCGCCATAAAAGTGGCGGGTGCGCGACGGGCTCACGCGCGGGATCGGGCGGCCGCGGCCCTTCATGTTTTCGGCGTCCTGCTCGGCACGCGTCATGCTGTGCGCCTCGTCGTCGCTGTAGTCTTCCTCGGGCGAACTGTCGTGGATGAAGCGGCAGCGACCGCCGTACATGCACTTGCCGGTGGCAAGGAAGGCCTTGCACTTTGTCGTCTTGTACTTGGGGTGGCGCAAGACACCGCGGAGCTCGTCTTCGCCGTGCGCAAACTGGCACTTGGTGCCGTAGCGACACGTGCCGGTTTCGGTAAAGTGCTTGCAGAGCTCGGTCTTGTACAGGGTGTTGCGGGCCGAGTTGGGGAGGCGCGCGCAGTCGACGATGTCGCCGTTTGCGAGCACCTGCATCGTGCGCTGGGCCGACGTCGTGGTCATACTAAATGGGGGAAGTGTTCTTGTTGCAGAATGAGTTGAAAGAAGCGGCACTGAGCGTCGATCCCTCTGCCAAGACCAACTGGGTTTCACACGTGACAGCCGTCAGAGGGGTTTTCAGAGGTTTCGGGTGCAATTTTTAGGTGCCCGCCCAGAATAACACGTGGTCATGACCTTTGCCACAAGATTGTCCAGCCGCAGCCAATCGAATGCGACCAAATTTGAAAAGAAGCCAATCAATGACACGCACGCGAAGCTGCCCTTTTACCCGCGAAACAGCGCTCGCGAGACGGCCAATCGGGCGCGCCGAGGTGAGAAAAGCAATCGCAAGGAAGAAATACCAGCACTTGCACTTGCTCCCGCCGTGCTTCTACGCAGCTCCCTGTGTTGTCCTTGTGGCGCTGTAGCCTGAGCTGTATGACCAATACAAGTAGGCTTGGGCAGATGACATAACAAAATGCGGCGACGGTGCGCTTGCAGTTGCTCGTAGAGGCAACTTAGTGCCATCTTGCTGAGTTTCGTAGCGATCCATTCGAGGTCGTCTAATTGACGTCATGACATCACTCATGCAGTACCATGACCTTGGCTCACCTGGGCTCACCTGGGCTATTACGCTTCAATCCGATACCTCGTGCTGCGTGTGACGGCTCAGGTCCCCTGCGATGACGTCCACACCGACGGCATATCGACGACGCCACCTCATACCCAGTGCCTCCTCCCTGTACAAATGAATCTCGGGTGCGTGGAAGCAGCAGGTGCCGCCACGTAAGTGTACATTTTCCCAAACTTCAACGTCAAAAGACTGCAACCGTGCGACTTGCAGAAAGAATATGTTGTGATTGCGTGCTCAGTGTTGCCTCTGCGAGCACCCAGGGAACGACCAATTGCTTTCTTTCCTTGGCGAGCACGACCGAATACGCCATGCTGAGTGAACGCACCGCTTCGCAACTTGTCCTAGTCAGCGCCCCACTAGCACTAGTACCTTCTAAAGTGTTCAAGCGCACTGCAGCACGATCAACTCGACGTTAAGAGCGTCGCTAGCCATGACTCCATAATTACCAGAGCAGACTACGTCTAGGGCCCATTGATCGAGACCCGTGTACAGTGGTGGTCGCTCGGCTCGAACAACTGTGGCCAAATAGCAGAGACTGACTAGAGCTCCAAGCAAGCACGTATACGACAAAGCATGCATTAGTTAGCGACTCGAGATGCAACTGCAAATTTACTCGCTGGCGTAGCCAAGGTGAAAGAACGGGTACTGCGACGCGGGCTCGGCAAGCTGCGTCGCGAGCGAGCTCACATCGAGCACGAGCGGCGTGCCCATCCACGCAGCGCGCTCCGTGTGATCGCGAATCTCCTACGCAGTCCCATCGTCACAACTGTCTTCATAGACGACCACAGTATCTCGTACCTCGCGCGTCAACGGGTGAATGAAGACGCTGAGGCCGTTGCGGTTGGCGACGAACCACGAGTAGACTTCAGCAAAGTGCTCGACGGGCGCCCACGTCTCGAACGACCCGATCGGGTGCGGGCCCACGGGCACGAGGTTGAGGCCATGCGTGGGCTTGGCGCGCACCTGCGGCTCGGTCGTCTTGTTGCCGACAAAATGGTGCAGTGGCACCGCCACAAAGCGGCGGTCCTTGCTCTCGAGGTTCGCGACGAGCGCGTTGCGAAGGGCAGTGACCTTGGCCAGCTCTTCCGGGTTCTCTGCGTGAAAGTACGTGTGGAAGTGCCACTCGCGGTACGCCATCGTCGTCTTCTTTGCCCGTCAAAAGGCAATGTGGCCTTTCTGCAGGCGGCCGCAGCTATGAAAAAAGTGTTGATGTTTCATACTTTAATGCAGTGAGAAGATCGTCATGTATTTTAATAAAGTGCCCTCTAAAGTACGCTTTACCCACTCTCCACCCAGGAGCGATACCCATGCGCACTTAACACGACTTTCAACTTGCGGTTTGTATGCTCATAGTACGAAGAAGACGCTGCGGGGATCAACACAAGCGCATCTTGGCAACAGACCCACCGTGCCCCTAAGCTACATAGCCCCGCGCATTCGTATCCCGCCGTCGCTCTTCTCTTGAGCCTTATTTGTGTACAAGAGAGCATATCGGACAGCGACAGTACCTCAGACCATGACCCAAAACCTCACATAGACATGTGAATCGACTACCATAGTGCGTACAGGTAAAGGTTCATAAAGGGATAGATTATCGATGGTAGTATGCAAAAGAGAGGTCATTCAACTCGTTAGATGAGGAGAAGACCCAGCGTCGCGCCAAGAAGTGCGACAACCCGACCATGGACGGCGTCTGTGCCGCTCGCCTTTGTCGGCGTCGGTGTCGTGGTCATCGGCATGGTCATCGGCATGCTCGACGCCTTCGCCAAGTCGGTTGCTGACAGCGTCACCAGCTTGCCGTCCACCATGACGTCCTTCGCAATCGAGATGCACTTGAGCTCGGGCGTGCCGTCGTCGATGCCGGTGAGCGTCGCGTTGAAGCCCGTCTTGCCGTAGTTGCGCGCGGCCATACCGTACTTGATGGCGAGCGCCGTGCCGTCGGTGCCGAGCTGGTACTTGACCGTGTAGTTGGCGCCTGGCGCCGAAGGCGGCGACAAGATCGAGTAGCCCGACTCGGTGCACGCCGTGAGGTCGACGAGGCAGTGGATCGAGTGGACCTCGGGGTGCTGCAGCGTCAGCGTCGTGGGGTTGTCGACCATGACGCCGCGCGTGATGCAAAAGTTGTCCATGATGAAACCAGAGAGCGTGACGTTCTTGCCGGTGGCAGCACACGCGGCGTGGGCCGACGAGAGGGCGGCCGAGAGAATGACGAGAGCGGTCGAGAGGCGGGAGAGCATGTTGCTTGCGTCGGGAATTGAAAAGTGAGCTTTTGCATAATATGCACGCTCTGCTGTGTATCTTACACCGTAGACTATTAGGGACACTGTTCTTTGTTGTCGTACGAGGTCATAGGGTTGCGGTTGCGTGCAGTGGCGTTCCGAGGAACTCCGATCTCGACGTGATTGCCCATCGGGTGCACACTGAGTTTGTTGGTGTGAATTCTCAGAATATACGAAACTGAACACAATTTCCAAAATTAGGCATTTGTTCCGAGGAGCTCCAATTGCGACTTGGCCCAAACCATGGGTACATATAATAGTACCCCTGGTCCAAACGTACGAAACACGAGACATTATCCTCTCGATCACAAGCGAGACGAACGATTGCATATTATGCAAAAGCTCACTTTTCAATTCCCGACGCAAGCAACATGCTCTCCCGCCTCTCGACCGCTCTCGTCATTCTCTCGGCCGCCCTCTCGTCGGCCCACGCCGCGTGTGCTGCCACCGGCAAGAACGTCACGCTCTCTGGTTTCATCATGGACAACTTTTGCATCACGCGCGGCGTCATGGTCGACAACCCCACGACGCTGACGCTGCAGCACCCCGAGGTCCACTCGATCCACTGCCTCGTCGACCTCACGGCGTGCACCGAGTCGGGCTACTCGATCTTGTCGCCGCCTTCGGCGCCAGGCGCCAACTACACGGTCAAGTACCAGCTCGGCACCGACGGCACGGCGCTCGCCATCAAGTACGGTATGGCCGCGCGCAACTACGGCAAGACGGGCTTCAACGCGACGCTCACCGGCATCGACGACGGCACGCCCGAGCTCAAGTGCATCTCGATTGCGAATGACGTCATGGTGGACGGCAAGCTGGTGACGTTGTCAGCAACCGACTTGGCGAAGGCGTCGAGCATGCCGATGACCATGCCGATGACCACGACACCGACGCCGACAAAGGCGAGCGGCACAGACGCCGTCCATGGTCGGGTTGTCGCACTTCTTGGCGCGACGCTGGGTCTCTGCTTGCTCCAGTAGGAACAATCTTGAGCGAGCAATACATGCCTATATTGTACATAATATATGTGTACTTTCGTTTGAGGAAACCACCACAACAATGTGCCGGACCATGACAAGCCGTCGAGGTGACTGAAAAAAGTGGTATTGGTGAACGGCTCTCAATATCAATATTCAAGTGAGCTTACGAGTCCCTCAATGAAGTATGAAGAGGTATCCGAGTATCCGAGTGGTGTACCACACTGACAACTCGACCACCATTCAAATGCTCTGAATTCTCACAATCCGCTGCACTCAAACAATCAGTTTTCTCATTTCTTAATTTACCTTGGCATGTCGTTTCTGCGTTTTTTCCGACCCAAGCTCGCCAGTGTCCCTCGGCCGCTCGCCACCGCCGCCAACATTGCAGTGTTCCCGTCACTGGCTTCATCCGAGGCAAGACGCCTCACTCTGCACGGCCAGCGCCGATTCTGGCCACCGGGCGACTACACGTTGTCCCCCACAAAGGTCGACGGGCGGCCGGTCGCCACGATCCAAGCGCACGACCGCTTCGTTTCGACGCTCGTCGATACCGACAAGAAGCCCGTCGCCTTGATCAAGCGACCCAGTGTCTTCTCCAAGGACTACTACGTCTACACCATCGTAGACGGCACCCCGACACCATTGATGACGATCGAGTGTCGCAACAACGTGCGGAAGTGTCGAGTGCTCGACACGGCCACGGGTGTCACGCGCCACCTCGTGCTGCAGGAGCTACCGGAAGAGAATGGCTGGAGCATCCTTACCGACGGTCATGACGGCCCCGTGCTCGCCAGAATCCAAGAACACCTTCCGACCAGTCTCTTGCGCTCCAATGGCTGGTACGAGATGCAAGTGGCCGACGGCGTTGACGCCGGCCTTGTCACGCTCCTGTGCCTGGGCATGGACGAAGTGCGCATGCGAGCAGTGATGTCGGTCCACGTCACGTGGGCGCTCGTCGCCTTTGCTTATGCCATGCGACTATTTGATGCGTGACGCTATCACAACCGCACCGTACACCTCGAGTCATATCTACAGTGTCATATCTTGTCGAGGGAATCCTTCAACAGCTTGGTTTAGTCACTTGCACACGGTGTGTGGTCCATACAGAGCAAGGGATATATACGAAAGTCAGCTTGGCCGAGTGGTTCAGGCGTTAGCCTGCTAAAAAAATACAGAGCACGGAATGTACGGTATGGGATCTTCTCTTGACCCGGAGCGCACAACCTTCCATATGGAGCTCTTCTTGTGTCGGTAAATGCAAGCTTCGGTGCCTTGGACTCCCCTGTCGAGCTGCAATGTTCATACTGGCGTGACGCCCTTAAGCACCATCATTCCGAATGTACGTGGAATGATGGTAGATTGCCACAACACCTCCCATCACTCGATGCTGATTGGTGCACGGCTGGGTGACGAGTGGCGACCGCCATTTTAGAATTTGCCACGATGTCGCTCATTCGCTTTTTCCAGTCCAAGCAAGCCTTTGACGCGCTCCAACTCGCAAAGTCGGCCCACTTCAAAGTGTTCGGGTCGTTTCCTATCACCGAGCGAACGCGCCTCGTGCTGCAAGCCCAGCGCTGGTCGTGGCCGGGCCGCGATTTTACCGTGCGCGACGACACAAAGGGAACGCTCGTCGCCCGAATTCAAGTCCACCGGTACTCGTTTCCCAACAAGCGGACGCTTCTTGACGCGGCGAGCCGCCCCGTCGCGCTTATGAAGCTCCACCCGTACTCATTTTTCAACGAGCAAATGGTCTACGAACGCACGGACGACGACGCGCCATTGTTTACGATCAAGTATCGCAAAAATGCGTCGTTTCACCAACAAGAGTGCGAATTGCGCAACCACGTCACGGGCGAGACACACCTCCTCGTGCTCCAACCTTTCAACGTTCTCACGCGCCGCAGCGTCCTCACCGACGGCGACGACGGACCGATTCTTGCCAAGGTGCACCAACCGTTCACGTGGCGGTTGGCCAACCGGTATGAGATCGTCGTCGCGGATGGCGTCGACACTGGCGTCGTCACATTGATGTGTGCGGCCATGGACGAAGAGACGCGCAAGCGAGCGGATTGGGTGTTTCGCGGTCTTGTTGGCTTCCTCGGCGCCATGTATGGGGGTCTTGCTCTTACAACTCTGCTGTAAAATGCTCCAACAAAAGCAATATTTCAATAGGATAATCACAATTCAAAAGTTGAGACAAGTTGCGAGTGTGGTCTTAGTCCATGGTCTTAGTCCATGGCGATGCACACCAATGTCATGAGTGCAAGGTCGACGCCTGGTGCGACTTCCACCGAGTATCGGACCCCGCCGAGGTCAAACTTTTGGTCTATCTTGGCAATGACAACGCCGCCGTCGATCGAGATGATCGCGCGGTGTGTCCAGGCGCCCTTGCAGCGCAGCTCGTGCACGCGTCCTGTCGAGAGGTTTCGAACGCTGCACCCGAGCTCGGGATAGCCCACATTGTGGCGCGCTTTGATAGCAAGGAGCTCGTGGTCGGTTGCTTCGCTCGAGTACACGTGCTGCGTGTACTCGCGGAGGTCTTCCTTGGTCACAGCGACCACGTTCCCGCGGTTGTCGCGGAGGACTTTTTGGTCGTGGAACGAGGAGTCTTTGGCCTCGAGACGAAAGTACACCTCGCCAGTATCAGCATCGCGGATGAGAAAGTCCTTGCCCAAACTTGACCAGATCTGGCACTTGACGTCCAGCGTTACGACGCGGGGGGCCGTGAATGTGTGGTCGATCGCGACAAAGTTGGACTGCGGCACGAGCGGTAAGGCGCTAAACTCTTCGGACGACATGCAGACACCCATGTTGATACTGTTGCGAGGGCAATGCGAAAATGAACCTCAACAGCCTCGCGTGCGCCCGTGGTGGGACATCTGTTTGTTGTGTGGTGTATTCTATTGCATACATTTTCAGAGACATTTAAAAAATCACATGTGGACACGACGCACCGGCTCATGGACACTGGTCCATGTGCCATAAAATCCAATGGGAATATAAATGACCTGGGCAAATGAATCCAATCTCGTCAAAACGAACTTCATTTTCTATCTATTCGATGCGCCACTGGTTGCAGAGGCGTCGCCGCATTGTTTACGATCAAGTATCGCAAACATGCCTCTTTCGAACAATACTAGTGCGAGGTGCGACGTGTACTTCGGTCTTGTGCTTCAACCCGGACTCGGTCTCGCGCGCCACAGCGTTCTCATCGACAGCGAGGACGGGCCCACGAGTATATAATTATACCCCTGGACGGGCCTGTTGGCGCCAAGGTCGATCCACGATGCACCTCGTGGCGGCGGCCGACACTGGCGTTGACGCTGACGTGTGCGGCGCGCAAACGTACGAGTTGAGCGTTTTTTTCAACAAAGACAAATGACGTTATGATCAGAAACGATAATAAGAAATAAAACTTAGTTGCGGCGGTGACGCTCGTCTTCGTCCATCGCGATGCACACGAGCGTCACGAGCGCAATGTCGACGCCCGGCGCGACATCCACGAGGTACCGCGCGCCACCAAATTCGAGCGGTTGGCGCAATTTGGCGATGACGACTCCATTGTCGATCGAGATGATCGCTCTGCGGGACGTCCAGTCGCCCTTGCAGCGCAGCTCGTGCACTCGACCGGTCGAGAGGTTTCGGACGCTGCACTCGAGCTCGGGATAGCCCAACTTGAGGCGCGTTTTGATCGCGAGGAGCTCGTGGTCGGTCGCCTCGCTCGAGTACACGCGCTGCGTGAGCGTGAACGAGATGAGGTCCTCTTTGGTCACAGCGACCACATTGCCGCGGTTGTCGCGGAGGATTTTGCGCTCGCGGAGCGAGAAGGCCTTGGCGTCGAGGCGAAAGTACACGTCACCAGTGTCAGCATCGCGGATGTGAAAGTCCTGGCCCGACCATGTCCAGATCTGGCCCTTCATGTCCAGCGTCACGACGCGGGGGGCCGTAAACTTGCGGTCAATCGCGACAAAGTTGGACTGCGGGACAAGCCGCACCGCTCGGTACTCTTCCGACGACATGCTGGCGCCCATTCTTGATAAAAGTGTTGTTGGCTGGAGGTTGAAAATGAAAATGAACCTCACGTGAGGTTCATTTTCACGTCACCGCCAGCCGACATGAGCTAGTAGCGACGTCGTGGACATGGTTGTGGGACATGTGTGTCCATATCCTATTTTATTCTATTGCATACATTTCGAAAGAGAGTCGACGATAATTTTAAAAACGACATGTGGCTACGGAAATCCACAGCGTTGGCCATGGCCCTGCGGCTGACAATAATGGACATTTCTAACAGGTTAGGGGATCTGTGCACGAGATAAAGCTCGTCGATAGAGTATCTATCTACTCATCGGATACTCGAGCGTCAAACTTGGTCAAAATGGATTTATCCTGTGGACAGTCCAGGGGGTGCATGAATCGAGTATCTCACTCGACATTGCTAGATCTCAACCGGACGCGACGTTGCACTCTCACAAATTGCTATCGGGATCGCGTTGTGGAGCATGTCGTAGTTGGTCTTCGTCTTCCCGCAGAGACTGGTGGAAAATTTCTCATCGTTGAGACTCGCATGTCGCCAAGGAGCACCGTTGCAGAGATGTGACCGGCTCACGTCCACTTCTCACAGCGTACTAGTAGGTGTTGCCATTTTCAACGAATTTTGCGATGGAAGATCCACCATGTCGCGTCAATGCAAGGAGCTGACTAGACACAGCATCAAACTTTGTATCGACTTTGACAAAAACAAAAGTTCCTCTCAACTGCACACATAATTTCGACGTTTCAGCGCTTTATTTGTCCATCCAATGTATTATGAAGTGATCTCAATTTTTACTAACAGTTATAATAGTACCCAAGCCGCTCCAGGAAGCCACACACATTACCGTGACTTCACGAAGATCAACAGAGCGCCGTATGCATGTTAGGGCACCACGCCCTCTTTAATAACCCGTACCCCGAGAGCGTCGTCACCGACGTACTCGCTGCAGCGGTATGGGGTCAAACCCAGATGCTGGATCTTTGGTGCCAACTCGATACATTGATACGATACCGTGAGCAGGTGCGCGCACCTCGAGTTCGCGCCCATGGTCCACGTAAGATCCAGCACTTGTCGAAAGGTCGCGCGGAATATGGCCGACGAAGCGCCAGCACCGTCGCCGCCGTCGACGCCGCCGCCCATGGGCACGTTTACGATTGCGCTTGGCCAACTCGTGCTGCAGGGCGACGCGCCGCCCGCCGAGAGTGACGCGCCGCCGTCCTTCTGGTGCGCGGTTAGCGTGCGCAGCGGCAAAGACCTCAACACAACGTGGTGGTACCCGGCCAGTGACGAGCACAAGCGCAAGGTCGCGACCAACGTGCTGCAGCTCTCGCCAGCTTCGGACAGCGAGCCGCCGGTATTCGGCTTTGCGCAGGCCTCGCGTCCGTTCGAGCTCACCGACGAGGGCCTCGTCCCGGCGCTCGCCAAGGCGAGCGTGCACGTAGAGCTCTACAGCGGCTACACGCGCGAGCGAGACACGGACGTGCTGCTCGGCGCGGCCACATATGCCTTCTTGCCGTGTCTTTTTGTCGGCGTCCCGTCGACGAGTCGCCTTGCCTTTCCGACGGCGTCGGTCGAGTGCACGTTGGCCTTTGACATGAGCTTTGTCTCGTACTTTCATCACATCAAGGTGCTGGCCATCGCGTCCGTGCAGGTCCACCGCCTCCCGACCGAGTGGCGACCGGTCCTCAAGGACGGCGACGATCCGCAAAAGCTCTGCGACGAAAATACCACCAAGTGCTCCGTCGCGTTGAAGCTGCCCGTTGCACTGTCGTCTGCCATGGCCGAGATGACGTTTGTGCTGGACGGCCGGCTCAGCTACGACGCGACCGCGACGGACCCGGACGCCGCATGGCTTGTGCGCTTCCCGCTCGAGAGCCCGCTCATCATGCCACTGGACAAGGTATCTCGTGGCCTGTTGCGATACTTCGATAAGTATACTGTTTCTAGGAAGGCACGGACGCACTCGTGGACGCGATCGAGTCTGGGCGCCTTGTCACGATGAGTCTCACGCGGACGCTTGGCACTGACGTATGGCAGGCGACCGCGCAGTTTGCACTGGACGCCTTTCTGACGCCGGGCACGGCGAGCATCACGCTTTGCGAGCCGCTGCGCAAAGGTCGTCCAGCGTTTACATGACAATTTTGGTGTGCAAGTATCACATTAGGCACGGCGCCGGCGCGGGAAACGCTCGAAGAAGCGCTGGCCAAAGCAGCCAACAACGACGAGAAGAAGAAAGCGCAAGCGGCACTCAACGACTATGAGAACTTATTGACGCGCATCGCAGGTATGTGCGCGTCTAGTCGTTTGTCTAATCGTTTTGTACTAGGCCACGCGGCCATCTACGTCAGCGCCGGGTCGGCGGCCTCGCTCGAGGCAACCGTGTACCCACACGCTCTCGTGCCGCTACCGCCAGTGCCGCTACCGCCGACCAAGTCGATGGCCGAGTACATTCCGCCGCGGCCGCCGCTGCCGGCGTATCAAACCCACGAAGCAACGGCGACGATGCGCAAGGAAGTGCGCAAGATTCTGGCGGTTCTCATGAAGGAGTACGATGGCCTCTTTGCGTTGCCCGACGACGTACGTGCATGTTTAGTTAGTTGCAACATGACATGTCGCTGGTTTCTAGTCGGACGAGTACGCGCTCTCCAAGGAAGACCGGCGCCACAAGCTGCTCTTCCATCTCAACGCCAACGGCATTTACTTTGAGTTTAAAGAAAAACTCAAAAAGGCGCTCGTGCTCGTGATCCGCGAGCGCTACCCCGCGATCGTCGCCGCGTTCCCGTCCCACGCTGACCCGTTGGGCGCTGCGGAGAATGGCGTGCGCCAAGCCAAGACGACCTTTTACGCCGAGCTCTACGCGTACCTCATGGAGGAGGTCGCGCTCTATCTCAACGCACGCAACCTTTTCCAACTTCAACGTAGGTGCATGTGGTCCTGAACCATGTTTTCTGCGCGGCGCAAAGCGAAGAGAGCACGATGAACCTCCTCGAAGCGACGACCAGCGTGACGCCCGACGTCGTCCGCGCCCAGCTCCAGTCGCTCGCCCGCCTCGCCTGGGAGAACGAGGTCAACGGCCACCTCCCCAAGGCCGTGACCTGTCACATGGACCGCATCGCGCTCTCCGCCAAGCACGCAGCAGGTCTGGGCGGGTACCAAGCCGACATTTGGATGGATTTGGCGCTCTTCCACCTACGCACGGGCTCGTACGACAAAGGTACATGGCACTCTGAATCGTCCGTATAAACCACCTACCCCTAGCCGCCGACTGCCTCCGGGATTGCATCGCCACCGACCAGCAGCACATTGGTGCTGTCCAGGCCTACGGCGCGCTCTTGTGTTCGTATCGCGACTTTGACGGCGCCGACATTGTGCTCAAGAACGGCCTCTTGCTGCTGCAAGACGATAGCCATGCGCCACCGGCCATCCGCGCGCGCAGCCATGCGCTTCTCGCGATCTACTACACCACATCGGGCATGGACGGCACCGGAAATCTGCGTCTCCACGAGCTCATGCAAGCGCTCTCGACGCAAAAGTCGGCGGCCTTTGCCACCCCGACCGCTGTTTGCATCGACATTGCAGCGTATCTGAGTGAACTGCGACTTGACGACCTCGCGCGGGTCGCCCTCGAGCTCGGCGCCGCGCTGCGCAAGCCCAAGACGGTGTACACGAGCCTCATGTGGTCCACCGAGCGCTTTGTACAGGCATCCACCCAGCTTCACAACGGCGACCTGGACGTAAGCATTGTCCATTGTTTGGTCGACGACAATGTACTATGATACTAGGGCGCGCGGGCCAGTTTGCAAGAGGCGGTCGCCAAAGACGCGACGCTCGCCGATGCGTGGTACCTGCAAGGCGTCGTGTGCAGCCGGCAGTCGCAACTTCGCGACGCTATCACGTGTTTTGAGTACGCGGTCGCGCACGTGACGCACCTCCGTCACGAGTACCATTTGCCTCTGTTTCTCCAACTCGGGGCGCTGTACATGCACCACCAGCAATGGACGGACGCCAAGAGCATCTTCTTGACGTCGGTGGACGAGGCTTCGAACGCGTCGTCGTGGCTCGGTGTCGGTGTCGTGTGCGTGCGCCAGGAAGACTGGGAAGGCGCGGAGATGGCTTTGGCCGAGGCCAACATCCTCGACAACACCAACGCCGACGTCTGGGGCTACCTCTCGCTTGTGTGCCTCCACGGCCCGACCCCTCGCCCGTTGCAAGCCGAGCAAGCCTTGCAGCAAGCGTTGCGCTACAACCTCGGCGTACGTCTCTCGACTTTATTTCGAGGGTTAGGGTATCGACATTTCGTGTAGAACCCGACGCTGCTGCGTGAAATCAGCAACGGGTTTGTGGCGCTCGACAAGCTCGAGATCGCTGAGAGCCTCCTCCGGCGGTCACTGCGTGCGCAAGACTCGTCGTTGACGCGCAAGACGTTGGCGGACGTGCTCTCAGCGCAAAATTGCGCCGAGACTGCGCTCGTTGAGTACCAACAGGCGCTGTCGAGCTGCGAGAGCATGGAAGCGCGCGCCGACCTGCTCTCGCGCTGCGTGGCCTTGTTGGAGACGCTGGGGCGCAAGGAGGAGGCGCTTGAGTACAAGGCGATGGCGTCGCGCCAGCAAGAAGGCGCGGTCTCAGAAGGCGCGCTCCTCCAGTCGCCACCGCGCGACGATGAGAGTGGCGCCGGACCGGAAGATGCCTAGAGATATCAAGTGCCAATGTACAACTTGTCTATAAACACCACACAAAAAGAGTCTGCCGACACGGCTACGATGTGGTCCATCGTCTTCCTGGATGCCAGCAGCTCGCGCATGATGCGAAGTGCAGGTGCCCGGTTGCGCGACGTCGTCGACGGCGGACTTGCACCCGCTTGGCGATTCAGTAGACGTGGCGAATGCAGCGACAGGAGCCACAGGACTGGCATCGAAACAGGGCAGGTCGTGTGTCGCAGCTCACGACGGACAGCACTGTCCGTCGTAGCGATGATAGGCGTGCCACCAGCTGCGGTCATTTGTCCGACCTGGCATGCGACATGTCGGGACCGATTCGAAGCGCGTTACCGACCGCGGCCTTCAACGATGATGGGGCCGCGCAGCTGCACATTCTCACGACGCACCATCGTGCGCCGCCCGATCGTCTGCGCTGCAACAGACACATTTGACCATTTTCAGCCGCGTGGCTATGAAACATCGACGTGGTGATACCATGTACTAGTACATTGTGCGTCTAAGTTCTATAATGCAAAGGTGGCAGCGCGGGCGTACTACTCTACGGCTCGGGTGGTCGAGCGTCGTCGCGGGCCGGAGGATCGGCCGCGTGTCCTACTGCGTCCGGTGCGGACTGGCAGTCGTGTCGTTTGGTGGTGTTGGGTGGGCACAAATCCATCACACGGACTGGCGGCGGCGCTCGAGCAGCGAGAGCGACGACGACCGCGAGAGGTCGTGGCACACAAAGCTGGCCTCGGACGTCGTCGAGTAGCCCGAGAGCGACGTGTAGCCGCGCTTCTGGTCGGGGCTCTCGCCCACAAAGGCCCGAAACGCGGCGCTGGCTTGGATCGTCTCGGACGTGTTGACGACGTCGAGGAAGCGCTGGAGGTTCATGGCGCGGTACAGGAGCGCCTCGTCCTTGTTCCATACCATCCAGAGGCCCATGGCCGGCCCCGTCATCGGCAGCGACGGCGTCGCGAACCCAGCCTTGCTGAGCTCGGCGCGGAGGCTCTCGAACTGCTTGAAGCGCTTGCAAACCACGTACTCCTTGTGGCGGCGGCCGCTGGGGACGAGCTCTTGCACGAGAATGTGGAACTGGATGTGGCCATTCGAGGCCGGTCGCGTCTTGCTCGGGCTGTGCTTGGTGATGCGCAGGTGGCTCGTTGTCATGTTGCTCGAAGCGTGCAAATTGCAAAGTGATCTTAGCGCGACATGCAAATTTTTCCAGGCGCGGTATTTTGGCCAATCAGACGCGTTTGGCGCCGTACCATCTGGACCTTCACTTACAACAGAGCCCCATGTGGGGTGAGTTTGAGTAGCCAAGCGCACTCGACCCAACGAGCGGCCACGCGTTGCTGTTGATTGAGGGCATCTCATGCTGCAAGTCCATCTCGCCGTCGCTAGTACTGTCGTGGACGGAGATCGTTTTGTCGACTTGGAGCTTACAACGGTTCATTGAGAGCCGAGCACAACGCCTCGAGCGACTAGGAATAAGATGGCTTTCGCCCTCTGAAATTTGCAAGCTACTTTTGCAACCTTGTAGCAGTGCTCATGCAGCAGTGCGTGGGCCATTTTTGCACTTAGCTACTAGAGACTGGTGGTGGTGCTGGGAGGAACGCGATGTATCGAGCGATGGTCGAACGCGAATCGGATAAATTTGGTGCCCGCCCCTTGGGCCCTGCGACGAGTGCACAAAGGTTGCGTCGCCCAAGCACACGCGCAGCCGTCTTCAACGACGCGTACTACCACGTGGCAGCCCCGCGCCGCGTTCACAAGCTCGTGCCCTGGACCAGGTGGCCGCCACCTTCCAGAAGCGGCATTTTCGCCAAAAGAGCTTTCTGCGGCCGCAAAGGCGGCGGGTCTGTCACAGCCCGAGCCTATGGCGTCTGTCGACTTGGCGGAGATCGAGGCACTACGGCGTGGGCGACGCGCTGCCGTCAGCTCGGCTTTGACATCTCTTGTGGCTCCACTTTGGTCCGTAGGCGCCAGATGCGGCATCAACGTGGCGCCAAGCACGCAGCAACCGGTGCTTGAAAACGCTTCGGGATACAGTTTCGAGACGTCTTAATGGATAGAGATTTGGATGGATAGTAAAATATATATACACGTTTCGAAATCTCCGAACGCTGCCTTGTCTTTGATCCGCTGCAGCTTCTACGCAGTGCAAGGCGCCATGGCTTTGTCAAAAGCAGCGCACGCCAGAGGCAACCCACACGACCCGACCAGCGACACCACGTATCCCGGTGCACGGACACGGACGGGTGCGAGGCCACCACCACGTCGATGGTCCGTCCTGCATGGGCGTCGCAAGAGGGCGGGTGATGGTCCAGCCATGTACACGCTGATCCTTCGACAGAAAGGCAGTACGTCTACCTGCAGAAGTCCGCACTCTACAGGTTTGTATGGCGCGCTTCAAGATTCTGGCGGCAACTTCAACCTGATAAATTCCTGCACTTTGCGTGCTCGAGAACAAGCCGACAGAGCTCGGCGGGGCCACGCGCTGCTGTACGAAGCGCGTTGCATTGTCGCTGCCGCGGTTCCTCAAAGCCTTTTGACGGCCATAAGAAGAAGACGAAGACGAGCCGTGACGCTTCCATCAGATTCCGAAGCAGCGCTGCTGTTCTTGCGTTCATGCTGGTTCAAGCAATGAGAGCGGCAAGCACAGATGTGCAGGACCATCTGCGTCGTCGTCAGGCGACGCCAAGACCTCTCGAGACATGGCCTGACGTCATTGACAGAGACGTCCATCACACGCACCTGTTACGTTTTGTATAAAGTTAGACAGGATACAGTGGACCAATCAGCGCGCGATTGCACTTTCTCGCACAGCGATGGCAACGCGGCTGCGGCAGCTCATGATCTTGAGCCGCGACGTCGCGCGCAGTTCGCGCTTCTACGAAGAAGGGCTTGGGCTGCAGATCCTTCGCCAGTCCGACACGTTCGCGGAGTTCAACGTCAACGCCGGCGTGACGCTCAGCATCAAGCAAGCCCATGGGTACGTCACCACATTGCCTTTTGCCAGCCACTGCAAGCGCAGTACGTAGAGAGGCAGCGTGCAGCGCCGGGTACTCACCGTTCCTCAACTTTGACGTGTACGATATGGACGAAACGATTCCGCGCCTGCTCATGCTCGGCGCCGCCATGGACGGCCCGATCAAGTACCCCGCGTTCGGTACCGTGCCTCTCTCCGACAGATGCCAACGCTGTTGTAGGCAAGGTTGCCGCCGTGCGGTCTCCGGATGGCACGATGATTGGCCTCTATGAGTCCAATACCATGGAGTCGGCCACTTCCGTGTGAGGCACGAGCTGCGATCGTCGCCAACGTTACGGTCGACGCATGATAAATGCACTCATGGAACTAGGAATTGACCATATATAAGGTTAAAGTAGTAGAAGAGACTGACGTTAAATCGTGTCGAGCTCGGGGGGCGGCGACACGGTGGGGGGCCCCGACGCAATATGCGTCAGGTATGCGATGAGATTGCTCAAACCCAGCAGCAGCCCTTCGTCCGGCGAGCCAATAGAGGGGTCTTGGTGGCTGTGCGCAAAGTCGATGAGCCGGACGTCGGTGGCGCGGGTCGGTCGGCCTTTGGTCTCGCCCTCGTACACCAAGAGGAGCGACGCACCCCAGAACCGAATGCCGTTGGTGGCTGCAATCTAGTCGGACAACATGACTCGGGAGCAGACGCGATCCCGCGTCCTACCACGTCCTTGAGCGCGTGAAGTCGCTGCAAAAGCCCCGCCACCGCGTCTTGTCGCACCGTCTCCCCGTTCGAAACAAACTACAATGCTCCATAAGAACGTAGAGCTAGAGTATACACGTACGAAGAGAAGGGCGGGCTCAATGTCGCTCGCGTGCAGGCGGCGACCCCAATGTTTGTCCCGGAGGACGTAGCGGCTGTCGCATTGTCGGTAGATCTGTCCGTCGCACCTTGAGACAGTCTTTGCATGTCCATATCGTACCTGCATGCCGCAGAGCCGCAGTCCGAGCTCCGCCGACGTCGTGGCCGCGCACTTGAGCGTGTGGCTGCGTGCCTTCTCGTCCGAGGTGTCCTCCCCTGCATTTCGGTCAAGAACGAAGATGTTATTCCTTGGCTACCGTGCTGGCGGGTGCCCATTTTGATATCCAGAACGCACGGACGCGTGTAGCCCGACGTGAGGTCCCCGAGGACGAGGTACTCGCAGAGAAAGGACGGCGCTTCTTCAACGGTTTTGCCCACCTCTTTGTGCCAGAGACTGTAGCTCACGCTCGTGTCGACGGACTTGCTCGATTTTCGACCAGTCACGGGCTTGGTGGCTTTCTCGCTGTGGGGCTCAAGGTCCACAGTGATCGTGCCCAAGTAGGCTGGCACGAACGGCTCCAGCTGCGGGAAGCGGTCGCTCAACGCGCGGTAGAAGGCGAGCTCCAGCGGGATGGCAGGTTTGCACACCTCCCCCGGCGCACTGCGCAGGAATGGCTTGTGGCCACCGACCTAATGCGTTGCTCAATACGTTCTTAGTCGTGGAAATGAACCTGGTGGTTGAAGAGGTAGAACGCCGTGCCGACCGAGGACCGTGCGACGATGGGCTCGATCGCGTCGAGGCTGTCACCAGAGAGAGACCGTGACGCTTGCGAGAGGCGCGACCTACGACGCCTGAGCTTTGCAGAGTCCAAGAAGACGCGTCGTACGCGTGCTCGTCACTGGACATGACAACAATTGGCAACTGTTACGATGGCTCCGAAATGGCCAAAAATAACAAAATGCGTTAACTTGTGTCGTTGGTGCCCCATCGTCGTCATCGCCACCGATCTTCCGACCTTCGATTCCCGCTACAAGAACGCGAAAGCGATAATAACGATGGCCTTTCTCTGCTATTCCCATGAGACCACAGAACAAATATCGAGACGAGTGACTTGCTGCATGTGACCCTCTGCGATTCTCAAACGCGCCTCCTCAAGATCCAAGTTAGATGCGCACGGGCAGCTACGCAGACTTTAAGCGCCACCAGCTCGTGTATGGGTCTGACTCGAGACGGGAGTTCGTGCCGATACCGCTACCACCTAGTCTGTGTCGAGACCAAACAGAGGCCGTCGCGCTCGAGAAGATGCTTGCCGCCGAGCGGGCTGAGGCCAAGGCCGCGGCGCATGCCCGCCACCAGCAAGCGGCGATCGCAGTGGAAGCGCGACTGCTTCGGCGCCGCGCTGCCCTCGGCGTCCTCCAGCGGTGGTGTCGACGATGGTTGCACGCCTTGCATGCGCGCCAGTGTCGCATGGCCGCCCGCATCGCGCGCTGGTACCGCCAAGAAGCCTCCCGCCGCCGCGCCGCGCTGCATGAGGTACTGGAGTCGTTCAACTCGGCTGCGGACAACGAGCGGCCAATGGACGTAGCTGTGCCTGCGCTTGGAGGCCATGCGAGGCAGCTACAGCGCACCTGGTAGCCGCAAAGTTGAAGCGCGCGTGTGGCCGGCGGCGGCTGAGCGCACCTTGACGTTGCAGGTGCTTTCACTGCGTCACCTGGTGTCGCCGATCCCGCCCTTGGCCTGTCTGCACAGCTCCATGCATGTCGAGATGCAGCTGCTCCATAAAAGCACGGGCGAGCGCACGAGCTACAGGTATAAACACTTGGTAGCTCAACCCACTATGGTTCAGAGCAGCATGCATCCCGTCATGTACTCCGAGTCGACCGTCGAGTGGAGTTGTGAGAACGCGGTGGTCGTTGTCGCCGACGACATCAACGACTGGGTCGGGTCGGTCAAGGTGCTGCACGTGACGCTCGATGGCCCACCGCGCACCATTGGCCACGTCCAAGTCCCCGTCGACTTGCTCGTACGTTCTTCTCGCTCATTTGGCTTGTAACGCCGAGACGTAGAACAGCCCGCTCGCCACGTCCCTCCATTGCCTCCGGCGCTGGTTTCCGCTGGAGAAAATGGCGCCCAAGGACTTGGTGCGCGGCGAAGTGCGTATCGAGCTAACGTACGCCGCACCGGTTTCGAGTCCCGAGCCGTCGGTACGTTGCGAGTCGACAAGGCGTGGAGATGACGATCGTAGCCCTTGGCGGTGCCCAAGAAGCCGGTGAAACCCAAGTCGCCGACGCGGAAAGTGAGGCGAATACCGCCGACGTCCCCTCCACTGCGCAGTCCGCTCAAAGGGACGCGGGTCGTCGACGCGCCTCCGCCACCGGACGTGGGAGGAGCAAGCATGCCGCCCCCCGCGCCTCGTGCCAAGCAGCCGTACCTCAAGCGCAAGCCGTACAAGGTAGAACGATCGTGGACGCGAGAGGAGAGTCCATTGGCGTCGCTAGGTCCAGTTTGAGCAGCTCGACTGGTCCAACGTCGGCGCGAAAACCAACAGCAACTTGGCCAAACCCAAACGCACCAAGCCAGCACACACTGAGAAGCCGTCCAACAACTGCGCGCCGGGTCTGAACCTGGAGCTCCAGAGCTTAGCGACGACGTCGGCCGTGAACCCGTCCAACATGAAGCTGGAGCTGATGCAGCTCAAGCAAAAGACCGAGCTGCAGACGATCTTCCATCTGGTGCCGTCCAAGAAGGCTCCCGGACGCATCCCAACACTGTCCAAGAGCCAGATCCAGCAGGTGCAGGGCCTTCCCACTGCTCAGTATGCAGCGCTTGTTGCGACGCTCGACCGTGACTACGGGCAGCTCAAGCAGCAATGGCAGGATAACATGGCCAAGCTCTAGTCGATTCAACAACCACAATGTGATCGATGGTCAATCGAGCAACTCGAACGCCAAACTGCTCGCAAACTCCATCTTGGTCGCACCTGTCCACTCGGTCTTGACGGTCTTGGCGATCTCCGACTCGGGCATCGCTTGCGGCTCGGCGATGACCGTCGCCGCCTCTTTCTGCAGCATCTCGCCGAGGTCGACAAACGTCGTCTCGGGCTCGTTGGGGTACATTTCCCGCCACGTCTTGCCGGCCGCCTTGGCGGCTGCAACCTTGACGTCGTTCTCAGCCTTGCGCGCTTTGCGCTCGTCTTCGGACTTTTTCGCCTTCTCGGCCCGATCCGCCTTGCGCTGGTCTAAAATGTGCATCGACAACATGTCCTTGCGGTGGAAGCGGTCTTCCGGTAGCTCGTCTTCTTCCTACAAATCGGTGCAACATGAGTGCGTTGGCGTGGCATACGTGGCGTACTGTAATCGGACTCTCGACTGTCGCCGGGAGCACTGTGGGTTCAAGTTGAAACTTGTCTGCAAGCGACGGTTCTTTCTACATGCATGCTTCAACAAGCATGCAAGACGAGATGCGTCGTACCCTGACGTCGTCACTGCCGTCGTCGAGAGCCTGCGAAAGCATCCATGGCGCCGATCCCGCATCTACGCGTGTCGATATGCTACGTGATAACACGAGAGGTGTACCTGGCGCGAGCTGCTGGGCGTGGAACGTTGCATCCACAGCCATCGCAATCGTGAGCGCTTGGTTGGCCGCCGCGTAGTCTGCTGTGACCCCACTCGCATCGATAGGGTACGGCAGGTACGTGGCTACGCGCCATCATGATCTTGCGTCGCTTCTCGTCTGCAGCAATCCCACATACCATGCTCGACGTAGCCAGGCACGTTCACCACGAGGTACTCGGCGCGGGCGTGAACCTGAATGTCCTTGGGGCTGGTTACCTACGCATCGAGTTTGAAACGCATCCACAGGCGTGTCTCGTACTGCGGATGGAAATTCGAACCGCATCTGGAGGTGGCGTGGTGCACTAGCGAGGTGCGCCTTCGACAAGGCCGGACCCCCTTCGCACGCCGGTACTTGTGCACAGACGCGCCACTCGTTGGACGCCACAGATTCCATCAAGATACCCATGAGCGGCTGGAGCACAATGGGCGCGGCAGGCGGCGCGGGTTTGGCGGGTCGATCGACCTCTTCGATCGTCGGCGTCTGGGCCTTGCGGATGTAGTGCTTGGCGGGGGGCAGCTCGCCCCGGTACGAGAGCTTGGGCAGCTTGTACTGCGGGTCAACTTGGAACTTGTATTTTTCTTCAATGTACTGGATCGCAAGTTCGCACAAAAAGTTACGAAACGTGCCCGAGCTGTCGGCGTCCGCGTCGAGCACAACCTGGGCGTGTACTCGGTTGTGCGAATTACGTCGGAGGCGTGTACCTGTGGGTTCACGGCCACGTCGATGGCCAAGCACGTCTTCTTGGCATGGTCCAAGACCTCGTGCGGAGGCCCGAGGCTCAGAGGCACGTGGATCCCTTCTTGCTCCTCGCCGTTCTCGTCGAGCTTCTTTTGCTTGGAGAAGATCTTGATGTGTTCGCAGGTACAAAAGTTGACAAAGAGCTAGGAAGACTTGCATGTGCGATCGTCGTAGCGCCATGTACCTTGGTCTTGGACGCTAGCTCCTTGGTCTTCATGACAAAGCCGGGCTCGACGTCAACGTACATGCCTTCCTTCTGCTCGGCGAGGCCTTCCGACTGCATGACTTTGTTGCCAGGGAAGCGAAGATCGTCGTTCGCTCCGTTGGACGCTGGCGCCGATGCCATGGCTGCCTGCAGGGCTTCCATCGAGAGGCCGTCGCCGCCGGCCGTGACCTTGGATCGCATCTCCTCCATGAAGGCCTTGTACGCATTCGGGTCGGACCGCTCCATCTCGTCGAGGTACTAGGTAGACGCCATGAGGATGCATGTACCTTCATCATCCTCGTCCCCGAGGTAGACGCATACGTTCGCATACTGCTCCATGAGGGCCGGATCCATGGCGCTTCCGGCCAAATTCGAAATCCCACGCGTATGCATTTCTGCAAAATCTGAAAACCTGCAAGAATTGATAATATGGTCAATGTGGCATCTCGCTTTAAACGTGGCACGGGCAACTAACCGATCGCGACTCATGCGAGGACACTTGCCTATCATGCACAAAGGCCGCCAAAGCGTAGCGTCTTCTTACCTTTGTCCTGGCATGACATCGACGGTACCCGAGGTGACAAGAGGACGCTTCTCTCAAGACGACGAGTCCTGCATATACACGCGGGCGCCTCTTTCATGCAGCAAGACAAAGGGACCGAGTCCAAGATCGTCCGCCATGGACGTTGCCAGCGGATGAACCAGCGCGTTGGCAAAAGCCAGAGCAGGCTCCGTATAGCAGCCGTGATGACGCAAGGCAAGCCACTGACGCCACGGCTCTTGACCGCACAAACCGCATTGCAGCGACTCTAAAGACACGCAGGCGGTTGCAGCTTCAAGCTGGTCGAGCCCATGGATGCGCAAGCAGTCTCGCCCATAGATCCGGCATTTGATCTGGTCGCGCAGGTCTGGTCTAGCTGACTTGGCGAGGGTCTCGCAGGCGCTGCGAGATTTTGGCCTTGAGAGTCGCCTTGAAGTCGCCTTGAAGGGGCACAGACGGTCGACATCATATGGCATCAGTCGAAGGTGGTGCTCCTGTCATCTCACCAGTGACAAGTGTCGTCTATTGACGACAGCAAACGGCATTGACTTGAAGTTCGGCACTGGATATCCGTTATTTTAGCTTTTAACCGACTGTTATGTCGCTTATAAAGTCCAGTAGCTGGATCCGGTTGGCATCCGGACTCGACCTCCCATCCTCAAATCAGTTTTCGGCCTCATCCAATCAGCCGCCCGTCGCCGCCCCCATGCTGCACCGTGTCCAAGCCCCGCTCCTGCGCCTTGCGCGCTCATCCCGCGCCATTCACAGCTCCGCCATGCGCATGATGCCCGAGCACATCGTCAAGGTGCCCTCGATGGGCGACTCCATCTCGGAGGGTACGGTCGTCGACCTCAAGAAGCAGATCGGTCAGCACGTCGAGATCGATGAAGTCGTCATGGTGCTCGAGACGGACAAGGTCTCGGTCGACGTCATGAGCCCGGTCGCTGGCACGCTCGTCAAGCAGTTCGTCGAGCTCGACCAGGACGTCGAGGTCGGCCGTGACCTCTTTGTCATTGACGGTGACGTCAAGGCCACGGTCGCCGCGTCGGCGCCGACGCCTGCTGCTGCGCCGGCTGCCACGCCGGCTCCAGTCGCGACGCCTGTCGCTGCGCCTGCTGCTACCCACCACCATGACGGTGCCCGTGTCCCGCGCATCAAGTTTTTGGGCAAGCGGTCATTGCTCGCCCACCCGGCGCCCGCGGCCAAGTCGGCTGCGCCGTCGACGCTTGTCGTCGCGCCGTCGTCGAGCGCGGATGTCCTGCCGTTTGGCAACTTGCCCTCGCAGTTTGCTCGCAAGCCCATTTCCAAGAAGGAGATCCACGCGATCAACACCGCGGCGTCCTTCCTGTAATTGTCTCGTCGCCGTGGCTGCCGTCATCAGAAGGCTAAAGATGTCGCCACGCGCGTGTTGAATAGAATGCACTCGTGTCTCTTTGCGCGTTTGGGCAGCGGCGACCACGCCTCGCTGCTAGATGGGACACTCGACGCCATGGCAACTACGAACTGTGTGCAGTCCCAGAGTGCAAGACAAGGACTGCCACAACGCCCCAAACTCCGAGCCTCAGGCACGAGTCTCCTTCGACACCATAGTCGAGAGCCGCCAAAACCAAGAGCAATGGACCTTGTCGAGGCGTAGTGTCAGTGTTGCCCAAAGGAATGTTGTCGCACGAAGCTGGCTGTAGGAGCCGTGTAGCGCGCATATCGCCATCCCAGCTCGCTTGCCGAGTCCTGCCAGGATCATTATTCGCGAGCCGGAGGCATCACCGAGCGATCACTTATTGGCTTTGGTTGTCGAAATATTCCGTGGAAAACCCGACTCTCACCGTTCTTTCAACCATTTTGCGTGTCTTTTGTGCAGCAAGAAACACGCAGCGTATGACCAAATCGTTGACGTCGACATCATCGAAGCTTCTTCCGTTGAGCTTGACGTTACGCGGAAGATCGCAACCCAACACATGTGGCGCCACCCGACCCTTCGTCGCTGTACGAACGCTGCTTGGCCGAGTTCTTCCTCCCTCGACGCGGCTTTGTCCCGCCTTGGCTGTCGTCGGTCTCGTGCTCTTGCGATCGCAGCTAACACCACATTTCCCTGTGCCAAACACAAACTGAAAGTGCAAAGTGGCGTGTCGCACCTTGCACTTTCTCGCGTCCAATCTCGAACGGGCTTCTTTGCGGTTCAGTGACACGCGCCATCGGCGTTCGCATGCTTGTCGCATCCGCTGTCTCCATCATACAGCCTTTTGATTGGCGCGCAGGGAAAGACGCTGTCACGCGAACGAGAGTCCCAGTTTGGAGCACGTTCCGAACTCGAAAACTTCCTCGGAAAAGCGACGATGCTCGCCCGGTCACCGCCCGCCCGCCACGGCGTCGACGCGATCCTCAACCCGTACGACGAGCACGACCTGAGCCACGACGACGACGACAGCCACCACGCCACCGCCACCTCGGAGAAGCCCAAGTTCTACATGGAGAAGCTGCACTGTCTCCTCGACGACTGCCCCGCCGACATTGCGCTCTGGAACGCCGACGGCACGGCCTTTACGGTGCTCGACGCGCCGGCCTTTGAGCGCCGCGTCCTCCCGCTCTACTTTAAACGCATAAAGTTTGACAGCTTTGCGCGGCAGCTCAACTCGTACGGCTTCAAGCGCGGGAAGAAGCGCCATGGCCATATCTACGAGTTCCAGCACCCGCAGTTTCGCCGTGGTGAGCGCGACCAGCTGCCGACGATGAAGTCGCGCATGGGCGCGCCCGACACGCAGGAGACGCTGCAGACGCGGATAGACCAGCTCACGGACGTGACCGAAACCCTCAAAGCCGAAGTCGATGCGATGAAGGAGATGCTGCACATGCTGCTGCAAAAGAAGCTACTCAAGGCCAAGCAGCGACAGCGCGCGGCCTCCCGCGACGACTAACAGTCGTGTCTATATATCTATATAACTATAAGTCGTGCCGTATCTTAGTGTTTGTTTGTCTTGCGGAATATCCGAGCTGGAGCGGCGTGGTTGGTGGTTTGTTTAGCTGGTTGACCAGTCCAGGTTGGACTTCTGGCCAGAGTTGCTCGATCGACGACCAGAAGCGTTGGCTCTATCGTCGACTCGACGACAATCGACCGACACCCAACACAAGTACTGTAGTCTGAGATGCACGAGTCTCTACTCCACCGTCGTCAGCCCTAATCCCTCGACCCATGGCAGGGACAGCTAGTAGGAGAATCGCAACACGATTCCCATGACAACGTGTTGCCGTCGTTCGACTTGAACGGCGTGCTGCACTGCTTACATAGGACCTCCGTTGTGCATTCAAATGACGGCGTATTCGTTTTTGCTGGTGGCCATCGTTGAACCAGATCTAGTCTTTTGCAGATTCCAGATTGCTTTCCAGTCGTCGAGGCGAGTCGAGTCTGGTTCGTCCAAAGGCGAGCCAAATCCCAGATCCATTTAAAAATTAGCGCTCCATTTTTCATCCATTTCCATCACGTCGGTTTTTCGCTTTCATACAAACGTTTATATAATCGACTGTGAATCTAGAATAAAAACAGTATATTAATTCGCATCGCGACGCGACCAATCACCAGCAGCGATCGAAAGTGCAACATCATGACGGCCATCCGCACCAGCGGCGGGCTCCATGTCTCGGCCATGGACCCGCGCGAGTACGCGCATGCGACGCTCGCCAACGGCCTCGACGTCGTGCTCATATCGGACCCGGCGACGGAGCAGGCGGCGGCGGCCATGACGGTCGGCGTCGGCTTCCTCTCGGACCCGGACGACCTCCCGGGCCTCGCGCATTTTTGCGAGCACATGCTCTTCCTCGGCACCGCCACGTACCCAGACGAGAACGCGTTCCAGAACTTCATCAGCGCGCACTTTGGCACGACGAACGCGTACACGACGTCGACGCGGACGACGTTCTACTTTGACATTGCGCCGACGCAGCTCCGCCAGGCGCTTGACTACTTTAGCGCCTTCTTCACGTGCCCGCTCTTCACCGAGTCAGCGACAAACCGCGAAATGCAAGCGGTGCACGCGGAACACTGCGCGAATCTGCAGAGCGACGTGTGGCGCCACCAGCAAGTGCTCCGCGCCATCGGCAACCCACGGCACGCGTACACCAAGTTTGGCACGGGCTCGTTCGAGACGCTCAACCAGCCGCATGTCCGCGACGCGCTCTTGACCTACTATGCCAACTACTACACGGCCGGTCGCATGAAGCTCGTCATTGTCGGCAAAGAAGGTACGCGCTCTCAACACGGCGAGGTGCCATCCTCGACGACTAGATGTACAGACGCTGCAAGCCATGGCCACGGCTCTCTTCAGCGACATTCCTGCGTCTGAAGCGTGCAATTGTCACCCTGGTTGCCGCAACTTGGCCGAGACCGCCTCCAGTCCATGCCCGATCCTCTTCAACGTCGACGGCGAGCAGCCGTACGCGCCGTCGCAGCTTCGCCGCCATGTCAAGATCGTCCCGGTGATGGACCAGCATCTCGTGCACCTTCTGTTTCCTGTCCCGCCGCTCTCGCCAACTGTCTATGGCGTGGACGCGCATACTCTCTTGGGCGAACTCCTCGGTCGACACGTCTGATTTGCCATTCTCTAACAAAGAAATGTAGGCCACGAAGGCGCCGGGTCGTTGCTTGCCTACTTCAAGGCGCAGCACTGGGCCAATACGCTCTCGGCCGGTGTCTTCAACGACGAGGTCGAGTGGACGTTCTTCACCATCTCGATCGACTGCACCGACGACGGCCTCGCGCATCTGGACGAGATGGTACCACCAAACAAAAATGACTTTATCGGATGGACTTCAACCAGGTGGCGCGCACGTTTGAAATGATTGCTCTCGTGCGCACGGATCCGCTTCCCGCGTTGCGCTGGCGCGTGCGCGAGTACCTCGCGCTTCTTCTGCTCGACGTTCAGTTTCACGAGAAGGAGGACCCGTCGAGCTACTGCGCCCACCTCGCGTCCCGACTGCACTTGTTTCCACCCCGGTTTTGCGTCACGGGGGACCTCGATGAGACGGAGCTCAACGTGGCCGACTACGACGCGACTTTAGCGGCGCTTGTGCCGTCCAACCTCCTCCTCGTCTCGGTCAGCGCGGGATACGCGTCCAGCGCGACGAGCACCGAGCCTTGGTATCGACCCATTGATAGATTGATAATGTAATCTCGGGGACGGCGTAGGTATGGCACCAAGTACAGCGTCGAGGCGCTCGATCCGGCGCTGCTCGACGCGTGGGCCTGTGCTTCGCCACACCCCGACATGGCGCTGTACAGCCCCAACGCCTTTATCCCAAACGATCTCTCGATGGTGGACTTGGTAAGCCATACTGTCTGGTTCAAGGGTGGTTCTCAAATAGTGTATCTAGGCGAACGAGTCGCCGACCCCGACGCTTTTGCGCAACGACGCGCACTGTCGGTGTTGGCACGTCGTCGACTACACGTACAAGCAGCCCAAAGTCTACCTCTCTCTCCGGTTCACGTCGGGGGCGCTGAGCATGAACCCGCACTCGTCCATCTTTACGGTAAATGCGCCGTGTTTTTTAGATTTCGGGATATTTGGATTGCTAGGATGTATATGTCGAATGCATGCACGAAGCTCTCAATGCTATCGCGTACGATGCGTCGCGCGCCGGCCTCAGCTACCACTTGCACGAAGGTACTCGTACCTCGGACGACCGTCACACTGAATACGGCTAGGCGTCACGTCGCTGACGCTGACGGTCGATGGCTTTCGCGAGACGGCGCCCAAGCTGACGCGCCACATTCTTGAGACGATGACGTCATGCGCTGTCTCGGAGGCGCTGTACCTCCGCGTGCACGAGTCGCTGCGCCGCAAGTACGACAACCTCGAGAGCGCGATGGACCCGCAGACGCACGCCGAGTGGGCGTCCAAGGAGCTGCTCTACGCCTACTTTGCCAGCGTCCCCGACCTCGCGACGGCCATCACGACGTGGACGTTCTCGGAATTTCAGTCGATGGCGCGCCACCTCTTCCGACAGTGCCACATCACGGCGCTCGTACACGGCAACCTCTCGGCGGTACATGCATGGGCTATGCGACATGGCGGTCCATAGCACAGGAATAATGGCTAGGCCGCCGCCACCGAGTGGCTCGACGATATCCAGGCGCACGTGCAAGCGACGCCGTCGGCCGCGTTGCCGCTTGATTTCATGAGCTACTCGCGCATCGTGGCCCTGCCGCCCGCGTCCACCTCGATCTACAAGGTCGATCGACCGGGCCATGGAGGGGCTCATGGCTCCACGTAGGTGGCGGCGCGGAATGCCGAGAACACGAACTCGGTGGTCCGGGCGTTGTATCAGATCACGCCGCTCACGGCGGCACTCGCGCCGAATGCGTACTGGACCAACTGCGCCGCGCTCTTTGCCCAGCTCACAATGGACCTCTGCTTTGCCACGCTGCGCACCGACGAGCAGCTGGGCTACACGGGTATAGTCATATTGTTTCGTATTTTTCTTATTATTGTATTTTTCGTATTTTTCTAGTCTACAGCGGACTCGCGACGATGGGCAACATATTGTACTACTCGGTTGTCGTCGAGTCGTCGACGTACAGCCCTGCGTACGTGCAAGGGCGCATCGACGCCTTCCACGCGCGCTGCCGCCAGTTCCTTCTCGATCTCCCGCTCGCCACGTTCCAAGTTGGCCCACGTTCCTCTACTTTAGATGACTCATGTAATGGTAGAAACACATTCAGACGCTGGTCCAGTCGTGGCTCCAGGGGCCGACGACGCTCGTGCAGGAGACGTCGCGGGTATGGACCAACATCTTGCTGCATCTGCCGCCACGTATTACGAACGCCAACGACGCCATGCTGCTGCAGACGCTGCACTTGGCCGACGTCGTCAGCTTCTACGACACCTTTATAGCACCGGGGGCCGCCGCCATGGTCGCGGTCCATGTCCACGGCCGCGCGTTCGTCGACGCCGTTGACGCCACCGACGACAATACGATCTCGTCCGTCGCGGCGTTCAAAGCGTCCAAGACCCTCTTTCCTCGTCCCAGCATCAACCCGCACGGGCAAGTGACGTTCGAGAAGACTGCCGTCAAGTGCTGGTCGACCTAAGATCGTATCCTACGATTAGCAAAGGCCACTCATAATTACGGCAAGGCGCGGTTGATACAAAGTTGAAACTAAGCAATACACTATTTTTTCAGCGCCGCCGCGTACGGCGTGCCGCTCAGGATGACGACGTGCTTGTCATCTGTCTTGGTATCGGCGTCCGTAATGTGCAAGTGGGTGAGGACGACCCATGACGACTGAATCGCTGCGGGGATCTCGAGGATCTTGGTCGCGGCAAAGTTTACGCGCATCCCTAGAATGTCAAACTTGATAAGTTGATACTAGTGTATGATGACGCACCGACACTGGCGTCGCGGTGCACAAATGCCTGGTCGGGCCACGCTGTGAGGGCATTCCCGTTGGCGTAGAGTGCCTTGAGTTGCGTGAGGTTATCCAAACACGCCGGCAAGCGTGTGAGTTGGTTCGAGTTGACCGACAGAATCTCGAGGCTCTGAAGCGACCCAACTGCGTCGGGCAGCTCTGTCAGCTGGTTGCCGCTACGTCCTTGGGCGTGAGCAAAACACGGGTATCAGCGAATACCGGAGGTTCAAGTCGCGAAGCGCGTGCAGCTGACCGACCGACGCCGGAAGACTCGTGAGCTTGTTGTTGTCCAGCGACTACATACATGAACATGCTAGCACCCGACGACGAAATATTGCGACTCGTACGAGCACTTGCAGGTTCGAAGCCTCGCCCAAGTTGGCAGGTACGTGCGTGAGCTTGTTGTTGGAGAGTTGCAGCATGCGCAGCTTGGGCAGCGCCAGAATCGACTAGGCATTCCGCTGCATGAGCATCGCCCACACCATCCACGTGCTAGCGAATACATCGGGAATCGTCTCGAGGTCGTTGTTGGTGACCCAAAGCTCTTCGAGGTTCTTGAGCGCGCCAATCTTCGTAGCCACCCATGGTCAAGGTTCGTCTGGAAGCCACGAGCGTACCTCGGCGGGCAGCGACGTCAAGTGGTTGTAGCCGAGGTCCAGCACGGCCAGCGGTGTGTTGGCGAGGATACCGATGCGCTACGTTCATGGGGCTAAGGCCATGATGGTTATATCGGTATCGAGTACGTCGACGCTGTGCAACTGGTTGTCGTAGAGCGACAGGCGGCGAAGGTTGCCAAAGGCCGGGAGGTTGTCGAGCGAGCAAAGCACCTTGAGGCTGCCGAGGAACTCGGCGGACCGGCGCCCAAGCCGCAGCTCCTCGCGCGAGTCGTTCTCGTCGACCATGATGGCCGGGATCTTCCGCAGGTCCTTCTGCACGAACATCGGGCTTGTTGTTTGGCAACGATTTCCGCTGCCACGGATTGGCTGTCCCTTTAACGTATTTTACCTATCGAGTTAAAGCCCCAAAACGCAGGAAGAGCACAGAAGTCGACCCCAGATCGCTCGCGTTTAACGCGTGCCGCAGCGCGCGAGGATTGGCTGAAATACAATTCAAATCCAGTCGAAACGCCGCGTGTATTTAAATACATTTGGTTTTTGTGGCATATATTGCGTGAGCTAAAATCACACGTTATCATTAAAATACGAAATCGTTGAAATACCTGTCCGACCTCCCACGGGGCTGCAGAGACGTGATTGGTTGAAACACCAAAAACCGTCACGCCATTATTCGCCAAACCCGAGGCGAAGCATGTCGGTCTCGCGCAACTTGCAGCACGTCCGGGCCAAGGTGGCGGAAGCCCTCGCCGCAAGCCCATGGAAGCAGCAGGTAGCCGCTCGTCGCCCTCGCCGTGGCGCTAGCTCATCCTGCGCTTGCGACTAGTGTACCTTGGTCGCGGTGAGCAAGACCAAGCCCGTCGCCGACGTCGAGGAGGCGTACAACCAAGGCCAGCGCCACTTTGGCGAAAACTACGTACGTCGCCGCCCATGCGCTAAGCGTCCTGAGGTGTCTCGATAGATCCAGGAACTGGTCGAGAAGGCGCCGCTGTGCCCGGCCGATATCCAGTGGCATTTCATCGGCCACTTGCAGTCCAACAAGGTCAAGACGCTTATCACGGGAGTGCCGAACCTCTTTATGGTTGAGAGCGTCGACTCGGTGAAGCTCGCCAACAAGCTCGACTCGGCGTGGGCGATGAAGGGCACGGGCAAGCCGCTGCCCGTGCTCGTGCAGGTCAACACGTCGGGCGAGGAGCAAAAGAGCGGCGTCGCGCCCGAGGACTGCGTCGCGCTCGCCTCGCACATCAAGACGAGCTGCGCCAATTTGGCTTTCCAGGGGCTGATGACAATCGGCCGCTTCGACGACGAGACGGACGACTGCTTTCTCAAGCTCGTGGCCTGCCGCCAGGAGATTAGCGTTGCCTTGGGCATCGACGAGGCGGCGCTCGCACTCAGTATGGGCATGTCGGACGACTTTGAATCGGCGGTACGTCGATCTGTTTGGTTCATTCTCAAAACGTTGCGTGCAACTAGATTGCGCACGGCAGCACGTACGTGCGCGTCGGCTCGACGATCTTTGGCCGCCGAAATTACGCCACTTAAGAACCAACACGAGCGTGTCTTGTGCGATAGTCTAAGGTGCGGAATGCACAGCTGTGCAGGATCACGCTCGGTCGCAGCAGGTGACCGTCGCAAAATGCAGCCGCTGGACTCGGCGAATACCTCGCGCCACGGTGAGCGCAGGGTGCAGCCAACGTCTCACCAGCTGCGAGAGAGATCGATGGTCCGGCCAAGCGCAATGCCAGAGTCCCTACGCAAAGCCACTGTAGTGATATGGTCCTTGATGCTACGAGAGACGCACGGGCAGCGTGGTGTCAAACACGCCTGGCTAACGCCTGGCTGAGGCGACAGGGTGCGTGCACCAAGCGCAGACGACGCAGTGGCCGCGGGACCGAGACAACGACCGCCTGCACGTTGTGAGCGTCTACCGTAAGCGCTCGAGACCTGTCCACGCCTCCGATATCTTTACCTTACGACAAAGTACCCTACGACTACCTGAGAGCTGGTTACTGAGGGCACTGACTGATGCACGGCCAGCGTCGGTGCGTTGAACAGCAGCGACGGCGCTTGCAGCTCCGAGCAGCTCGACACGTCGAGAGCCTCAGCACTCGAAGGTACTCGCGCAGTTGTCAAGGGTGCGGCCCCCGACCGAGATGCGGTGCAGATTCTGCACAGATTTAGCAGAACAACGCGTGAAAGTATCTAGCAAAGGAGTACCTTGAGATGTAGGGACGCACGCCATTGCATCGGAGTTTATGGTGGCGTCATCTGCATCTGGTCCGAGAAGCACCGCGGGGCGAAGGCCGCAAAGCAACGAGTGAGACGACACTGGTACGGTGGCCTGGGGCTTCCTGACCGTCGATAGGCGGCGCGATCGTCCATCGAGACTGATGACTAGCCATTTTCAGTAGAAACGTCGAGGACTCTAGTATGTATTAGGCGGTTACGGTACGAGCCATGTTGGCACAAGGACCTTGCGGACGTGTGCGCATGGCACGTCGGACAGGTGTCGCTCCTCCACGCATCAAAGTGGTCAGTCGACCCGATCTGAGAAGCTCCGAACCACTTTTCTGAACGCACGGACCAGATTTTGGCCCGATTCGGTGCTCGCCACCTACACTGTACGCAGAATCCATGATCAACGAGACGACCTTTCTCGCCAAGAACTACTAGACGATCGACTAACTGTGGCGAATCAAATACACCAAAGAGTAGAAGACGGAAGGAACCAGCTGCAATGCTTGACGCTCGCTGCCCATCCGCGCGGTCGCAGCTGCAAGGTTGCAGGTGCTTGGACCTCCTTTGCATTGCTATGCGGCGTCGGACCAGTTTAGGCCCGGCAATCAACTGACCCGTTGGGTGCCCTGCTGGCGCCACTCTCGACGTTCGTCTAAGCTTCTTCCTCTGAGCTAGTAGTCACTCGCTTGGCGGTGGGGCTCGAGCCCTTGCACGGGCGTCGTACAGTGTACTTGAAGACGGTGGCATGTAGTTAGTCGTTCCTGTCCACTTAGTCGATCTCACGACAAGATCCAAGCGTCGGGTGGAGTGTGTTTAAAAAATATACGCACTTGGATACAATTATCCAGTGAGAATAAAATATAGAATTAAAAAGTGGTCGCACCGGCTGGGCAGCATTACCAACACGAGTCGCCAGAGCATGGGCCGGGAAGACGATAGGACGCTGCGAGCGTTGGCAGACAACCGCTTCCTCCTTGGCCCCGGTACGAGCAGCAGCATGGGCAGTACCGTGACCATCCTCCGGTCCGTCCTGACCATGGCGTCGCTCACGGGCTGCTTCTTCGTCGTCATGAGCTACCTCCTCTTCATGCCCCTGCGCAAGTCGCCCTCGAACCTCGTGCTCTGGATGGCGCTCTTCGCCATGGCTATGCACCTCTCGATGATCCTACAGACAGGCTTCGACATGCCCTCCGTGCCCACGCTCGGCCACTGCGTCGAAATTGGCACGACGACCGAGGTACGCTCGCCCCTGCGGCCCCAGGGCTCATTCTGCGCTTGTAGTTTCTTGTCATCGTCCAAGAGCTCTACCTCGCCATGATGACCGTCGACCTTTACATCACGACGCGCAATCCATTCTCGTACTTTCGCACGCTCTACTACCACCTCATCGTGGGCACGACCGGCGCGGTCTGGGCGTACATCTTCTCATCCGACGGCGCGGTACCCGGCGCATCGCCGCTCGGCGTCTGCTGGTTCAACGCGAGCCACCCGAACGCCTACGTCTTTGTGTGCATGTAGGGTCTCTTCCTTCTCATGTCGCCTTGCTCATGCTGCGTAGCTACCTCGTCGCGCCATTGGCCATGATCTACGGCGTCGGCTTCATGCTCTTTATCGTCGCAAGGAACCGCATCAACGACGGGTACGACGACACGTCGACGTCGGCGGCCCGGACGCTCTCGCTGCGCCAGATGAAGCTCTACGTCGGTGTCTCGGCGCTCTACTGGTTCATCGTCGGTTTTGGCTCGCTCATCATCCTCTACGGCGCTGGCCTCGACGACGTCACCGACCCGCTCTACGCGTTCTGGAGCCTCATGTTCGCGTCCAAGGGTCTCGTCATAGCGGGTCTCTACTGCCACATCATGCGCGTCGGCTCGGTCTTTCACCTCTGGCGCATCGGCGACTACGACCCGCTCATGAAGGTCCAGGGCGTCAACTGGGTCCTTCGCCGCGACGTGCTCTACTTTGCGCGGTACATCTCGATCTCAAAGTCAATTTGAATCTGAAAGTATGGTAGCATGGGCATCTGCGAGTCCATGTCGCCGTCCGTGCAGCTCGTGCCCGATGTCGACCAGAGCAAGTACGCCGTGCGGAGCCTCGAGCTCGTCGGCCGCACCGAGTCGCACCGCGCCGTCTTCCGCGACTACGAGGCCGACTCGTTCGATGAGATTCGGCGCATCTCGGGCATCTCCACCGAGTCGTTCGTGCGCTCGATGAGCGTCCACACGCGCGAGCGGTTTAGCGAGGGCAAGTCGGGCGCCTTCCTCTATTTTACCGGTACCTTTTGGCTCGATGCCGTCAAATTGTCACAAATTACATGTAATAGGAGACCAGCGCTTCATCCTCAAGACGTGCACGCAGGCCGAGCAGCAGTACTTGCTGCAGATTCTACCGCAGTACATTCGCCATTTGACGTCCTTCCCCAACTCGTTCCTCTCACGGTACACTCTGCGACGGCGACCACTCAGATCTGAGAGGCATGGACTAGATATGTCGGCTGCTACGACCTCATCGTGTACGACCAGACTGTGCGCTTCATCGTGCTGGCCAACGTCATGCAAAACCCGTCCGTGGACGTCGACGAGTTCTTTGATCTCAAAGGCAGCTACGTCGGCCGGTAAACGTGAACTCCTGCATAACGTAGACTTATAGCGACGTAGGTACGATGACCCGATGGCCCAAGGGGTCCGGAAGGTCTGCAAGTACTGCGGCATGGAGTTTGTCGTTGGCATGACCCAAGAGCTCTGCAAGATGAACCCGTTTCCCAACCAAGGCCACACGCAAGAGATGTACCGCGCCCTTTTGCAATCTGAAACAAATCTGACATGTGCTATGTAGTTGTGGCAAGGACCTCAACTGGGCGTCGCGCCAGATCTCGCTCGACAACGAGCTCGCCGACAAAATTGCGACGCAGCTCAACACGGACAGCGAGTTTTTGCGCTCGATCAACTCGATCGACTACTCGCTCATGGTGGGGTTGCACACGGTGGGGCTGCCGCGGCCGCCGCGACCGGTTCCGTACAGCGCGAGCACGCCGCCGCAGAACGACAACGCGACGCCAAGCTACGTGTTTCACGACCACGACGACGAGTCCCGGGACGGTGTCCACCAGCCCATCTACCTCAAGGACCACATCGAGTACGAAGCGATGGCGTCGCCCGACTCTTCGTGCGTCAGCAACGTCACCGAGGTAGGCTCTCTCTCGATGTGTGTACTGTGACCAGTCATCAGGTGGTGCTGCTGCAGGACACCAAACATGCTGGGAACAAGAATGGGTTTGGGAAGGGCACGAGCCTCGACAAAATCTCGAGCTCACCGACGCCGCAGCTGTATCAGCACCGCGCGGAAGACTGTGTCGTGTACCTCGGTATCATTGACATTTTGACGCCGTGGAGCATTCGCAAACAGCTCGAGCACTGGTTCCGCGTCTACTTGCAGTGCAAGGACCGCCAAGGCATCTCGTGCGTCGACCCCAAGCAGTACGCCAACCGGTTCCGGGACCACGTCGTCGCCGTCGTCATCCAGGGCAAGAAGCCGCCGCCGCATCTCGAGGAGAAGCACAAGCAGCTCGAGAAGAAGCATTCGCAGCTGCCACTGAGTCAGCGCGAGTCGCTGAGCTCGGCGGGCCAGCAACCGATGATGAGCTTCCAGACTCCGCCGCCGGCGCGGGCACCGACGATGGTCGCCTCGGACTTTACCGGGTCGCACCTCGTACTCGACCATGTGCCGTCGTCCCGCTACTCGGGCTCGTCGTCGGTTGCCGCAGCGGTCGGGCCCACGTCGTTTGGCCAGCCCTACGGCATGTACTCGATGAGCTCGTTCCGTAGTGCGCAGACGCAACAGCAACATTATGCATGAGGCAACTAGTAGCCTCGTATTTATAAATGAGAATCGTGGGTGTTGACTTCGTCTAGTAAGTCTAGTACGCGACGCGTGCGATAGATCAACAAAACTGACAATACGTCGTCGATCAATGTAGTGCGAGTTGGAGCCGCTGGGGTTAGGGTTCTGGCGGCAGTGGCGACGTGAGCTTGACTTGTACGATGCACCTGAGAGCCCCAAGACCGAGAAGTATGCAGAGCAACGGGGGTATATGTCCCCACCATACATACTGTTGTGACGAGCGCCAGCCAGCGCCGAGGCGACCACGATGGCTGCGTAGACGTCGCGGCCAGCCGCCCCAAAACGAATGCGAGAATGAGCGATAGGACGTTTGCTGGTGCAGCGGGCAGCTTTGGCGCTCGCGGTGCTTTTGGTCTCCCAGGCTTTTGTCGCCAACATCCACATCGACTACGCGCTCATCGTCATCGGGCGTCACGGTGGCTCTTGCGTCGCTGAGCTTCAACTCGCCACTGCCGTTGATTCTCGCGTCGGCTTTCGGGGGCTCGTATCGGTTATTGCGATTTGGATGGTGACGAGCAATGAGACTCGTTCGGTTGATACGGACACGGACGTCATGACGGCCCTCTTCACTCGCACCACTGGTGTTCCTAGGTGGTCGCTTGGTGCACTTCACGGCCCCGGCGACGACCCACCCACAAGACGCCTCGCACGGCTCCGTGTGCAGCTGTTTAGCCTTTGCTTTTTGTATAACTATCTATTATCCGCAGTTAGGTCTGGGAGGGTTAATACTTGACGTTCCGACTACAGAGCACTAGCGGTACACGTAGTGTATGGCATTGCGCGGTTTCCATTGGTGTCACTTCGCAGTCCCACTCCCGTGCGACACTGGCGTGTCCGCCGTTGAAACTAAAATGGCGACCGATGACACCGCCCTCGCGACGGCCATCGCGTCGTTGGCCCTAGCGCTACCCGTGCTCCTCGCTGGCTGCCGCTATTCCCGCTACACAAGTGTCGTCTCTGGCTTTCTTCTCGGTGGTGTCGTTGCAACAACGCTGGGCGCGCCGCTTGGTGTAGCGCTTGGCCTCGGTCTCGCCATCGCGGTCGGCGGCGGCCTTCGCGAGCGCTTTGGCGCCTTCTGCACCGTGGCCGTCGCTGCGTTCATACTCGTCAGCTTTTTCGGGGGCCTTCTCGGCCTTGGCGCTGTCGCAGCGCCAATCGTGGCGGGCGTCGCAGCGGTTGGGCTCGGCGTTGCGTCTGGCGACGCACGGGACGGTCGACTCTTGGCCTTCACCGGCGCGGTGGTTGCGTCCAGTGGCGTCTTAGTCCTCACGGCTCAGTCGCTTGCAGGACTCTACTACGCGTCAGCGATTGTCTTTGGCGTCTTCTTTGTCGTTGGACTTGGAGCCCAAATCAAGTGCACAGCGCCGCCCGATGGCCTCCGCACTCTCCGGACGGTGCCCCTGCTGCCCACATCGACCAACGCAGCGTTGCTAAATCGAGAATGAGATTTCAAGACACTGTTTCGAGACACTGTATTGAGGTCATTGTCGATCCTGTTAGCTGGAGTCAAGACGCAAGGTAGAGCTGGCTGCGGCGACGGACGAGGAGCCCGATTATGCAACAGGATAGCAAACTCGAGGACACTTCAGGCTGCGTCTATGCTCTCGTGTCCAGCATCCAAGGGAATCCCCTGGATTCTTATCAGTTTTGGCGAGGAACAGGGAGCGCCCCATCAAACTCGATAAGAATCCAGGAGCCAAAAACGTTGCACACGTCTCAACCGCTGCATCAGACGGCCCGAGCCGCTCTTTCAGTCTCTCGCGCCCAAGGCCCCGTTATCGCAGACGACCCGTATCCTCGACTCTGTGCAAAAGGACTTATAGTCGACAAGTCCGCTCATCCACCAGCCTCCTACAAGGACCAATAACGACCACCTGTCATCACCGGTCGCTCTGGTTGGCGCGCGGCGTGGGTGACTGACTTGGTGATTCTGGGGTGGACACCCTCTGCCACATGTTTTTCATAGTATCCCGATGAATATACGCCGAGAGTCATTTTCCAACTTGCTCAAAGCCAAGACCGTCAACTATGCTCGATACGCCCAGCACGCTCGGCACCGCTCTCGCGATTATCGTGCTCGTGCTCGCACTGCCGATCACCTTTGTCGGCTACAAGTTTCAAGTGTTGACCGGTGCAATCTCCAGCTTCCTCCTCGGCGCCGCCTGGAGTCTGCTCGTCCTTCGCACCGCCAGCGACCTACTGAGCACGATCGTCGCGCTCGCCATCGGTGTCCTTGCCGCCGGTGTCGCCGCGCGGTTCCCTGCCGCCGGCCGCTTTGGCACCGTCGCGCTTGCGGCATTCACCGTCGCAACGGCCGTCGTCGCCGACGTCTACACCTACTACGCGCTGCTCGTCGCTGTCGTTTCAGTCGCTACGATCGTCGTCGCGTATCTGAGCTACAACTCGCGCACGGCGCTGATTCTCTCGTCGGCGTTCGCAGGGGCTTGGCTCCTCGCGGGTGCTATCGCGACCTTGACATCGACCAGTTACCGCACTTTTGACCGCGACGAGCTGTCTTTTGGCTCGGGCGGCTACGGCACCGTGACCATAATCACGCTCGCGGTCGCCTTCCTCGGTGGTCTCTTGGTGCAGCTGCGCTTCACAGCGCCCGTCGACGCCACATCGCCGACGACAACACCGGAGAACGAGGTGCCATTCACGGCCGTCTAATCAGCGTCGTATCGTAATATAGTCTTGTATAGTTATATAGTCTTTTTGTTTTGTTGCACAAGACGCGTCGTACCGCCTGGAATGCACCAACAACATTGCTCAACTGGTACATACTCTCTTGCGAAAAGTAACGCGCCAACGGGACTCGAACCCAGAGCTGAGCCACCCATGTGGTACTACTAGTACAGGAATAATAATGCCTCTCGATCAAGGGAATAAAGCTTGGTTCTTTCCTTGGTCTCGACTGCGCCGGCCCACAGTACCAAGTTACAACGCTCAACCCGGCGCTACCCGGTGGCCAACCAGTGGCTAAATATGTCGACCAGAGCCACCGCTTTTGACGATAGACAGGCTGTGAGAGAGCCAGCATACACGCAGCAGACTTGTATCGTGTATGTTGACAGGCGCTTGACATAGCGCGCTGCCAAATGGTTGTTGCTGACGTTTCCAGTCTTCATGGCCACTTCGCATGTCGCGACTTGGAGGACGCACACGTTTCAAGCACTCATCGACGATCTGTCCTAGTCATAGAGGATCCGCTGAGCGCCAAACGCAGATTCGCAGCGACAAAGACACAACCAGTCCATCGCTTCCGTCCTGATGCTTTGAGTCTGCATACATTCGATTTGTAATACAGACTGTATAAGGCTAAAGGCTAGACAGCTGCGTACGGAGCCGTGCGCGGTGTCTCTTCACTTGCGAGTGTCGGCGCGGGCGGGGTGTCGAGGGGCGCCGTGAAGCGGAATTGCACCACGAGGCCACCGAGGAACGCCAGCGCAAGCACAAGAATAACCATGGTGCCGTCACTGTCCATCTCGAACGATCGTTCGTAGCGGTCAAAAGCGCGGTCGGTTGTCGCTGTCAAGATCGCGACGGCCCCCGCGAGCAGCGCTGCCCCTGAGAACGCCGACGAGAGAATTAGCGCTTTGCGTGAGTTGTAGCTCAGATACGCGATGGTGATCGTGACGACTGAGACAATGACGATAGCGAGCGCGTAGTAGGTGTAGATGCTGGCGACGACGGCCTCAGTGATCAAGAGCACCGCGAGCGCGACGGTGCCAAAGCGACCAACCACGTGGATACGTGCGGCAACGACCGCCGCAATGATGCCGATGAGAAGCGTGAGGAACGAGCTGCGCATGAAGCCAGCGATGATGAGCTTGCACCAAAGAGCGGCGGCGAAGAAGCTGGAGACGGCGCCCGTGAGGACTTGGAGCTTGTAGCCGGCAAAGGTCACGGGCAGTGCCAGCAGCAACACGACGACCGAGAGGATGGTGGCGATGATGTCGATGGTCATGGTACTTGGTGGAGGGAGGGAACACTGGGAAATGATACATCCCCAGCCGCCTCGCCCATTGGTGTCGCACGTGTCCACACTGTGTCCACGAGAGCGGGTGTTGAGGTGTAGTATCCACAGACGCTGCTGATGGTTGCCGCCATCTGCGTGGACACAGCTGCTGACGTTGATCTTCGTGTCCACTGGACATGTCGCGATTGAATTCCTACATTTCAGTTTAAAACACAAAATTCGAAATACTTCGACCGTACGAGACATTGTTATCAGGTTGAAGGTGCTGCTGGTCAGCAGTAATTATAGTGTACGTTCAAACTTGCAATGGATTATAGAATACTTTCGTAGGGATCTCTCGGACCGCAAGCGACCACGTGGCCATGGGGATGCTGAGGCGATCGCGGGTTCTCGACATCAACGTCGTCGGCGCAGGCTTCCATCAAGAGCTTCTCGAAGATGCTGAGGTCGTGGTACGGCACGTCGTCCAAGTTGCTGCAGAGCGCGTCCAAGCGCGCCTCCAAACGGCGCAAAACGGAGCTGGCGGGGAGCAGCGTCATTCTTCCGAGCACGTCAATTTGGAGTCTGACTCGGTCAAAGAGGTTTAGAGAAATGACCAAACGACGCAGCCAATCCACGACGGGCACGCCTCGCCACGAGCCAATCAAACGCTGTCAGCGCACTCCGCGCCATGTGCTGTGATTGGTCCAATCCAATGCAACCATCATTCTTCGGCTCCAGACCCTCACTCTGGTCTCTGAGCCACAGCTCTTGCGCCAGATAGAGTCTAGTTGCTATAACTTGTTAACTACATGAAGACGTCTTATTCTCTCATACAATCTCCAATGGAGTCTCGAGTTCGGTCGCTGACGCATCGCGCCGCGCAAGGTCCAAGCCGGTGGTCATGCCTTGCCACTGGACGTAGAGACCACATCCGAACACGAGGCCGAGCGAGACGGTCGTTGCGACTAGAACCTTCGTCGCCTCGTCGTCACCGGTGCGTGCTCGACGTTCGCCATTGGTGGCGGTGACGAGTCCGACCAAGTAGACAAGCCCGACAAAGATCGAGACGAGGTACGCCCCCGAGAAGGCCGACGCGATAAGAACTGCGCTTTGTCGCTGGCGGCCCCAGTAGCCGAGAACAAGTCCGCCGATCGAGCCACCGATGAGCGCGATCGGGAGAGAGGTCAGCGAAAGCGGCGTCAAGAGAGCGAGAAACGCAGATAGCGCGACCGTGCACGCGTCGCCAAACGAGGAGCTGGCGACGGCGACGAGCGTGGGACACAGTGACAGCAGGCAAGCCAGCGCCACGTGAACGGTCGTCGTGTCGGCGATAACGAGTCTGGCGAGTACGAGGAGCCAGAGGAAGCTCAGAAGAAAGGCCGAGATACGACCGGTCAAGCGACGTCGACCAAAGCCGTAAAACGTCATGACGAGACCCAGCGGGAGGAGTCCGAGCCCGAAGAAGAGGATTGCAAGCATACTGCCGACGCAAACACAGAGTATTAATTCTTGCGCAATGAGCCAAAGTATGTATCCACGTTGTCTCTTGTCACAGATCCATGTCGTGACCCGTGATCCCGTGCGTAGCGTTCGTTCCTACGACCCGTGCAAAAAGATACGAGCATTCGCATGGATCACGGACATGGCGGTTGTGGTGATCGTGTGAGATTCTGTTGTATACACTGTTTCTCAACATGTATTCTGTTTGTTTTCGACTATTGTGCGCTTTTCGACTTGGGACTTTCAAAATACCCCGTGGGCGGCACCCATTTCTCGGCCGGAAAGTCCGGCGCACATGCGCTGGGGACGTCCCAGAGCATCGCGACAAGCCACTCGAGCGCGTCGACAAGGCGTGGGCCTGGGCGGTTGAACATGTGGTTGCCGTTCACGAGGTACACGCGGCCTTGGCGGACTGCGCGGAGCTGCTTCCACCAATCATGATATATGAGTGGCGCCAGCTCGCGCTTGGTCGCGTCCATGTCGAGGCCGCACGGCGCGACAACGATGATGTCGGGGTCCGACGCGACAAACTCGTTGGCTGGAATCGACCGCGACGGGTGCGCGCCCGTCTCGACACCGCCGGTGGTCAAGTTGAGCGGGTGGACGGCGCCGGCCATTTCGATGAGCTGGGGCGTCCAGTGGCCGCCGCAGAAGATCGGGTCGGTCCACTCGCAAAAGCCAATGCTCCGGCGACGCATGCCCGGAAGGAGCTTGGACGCGACGATCGCGCGCGCAATGTCGATGCGGCGCTGGAGCTTGGCGACGACGCGCTGCCCGGCGTCGTGAAAGCCGAGAGTTGTCGCGATGCGTCGGATGTCGGCGAGGACATCGTTGACCGACATTGGGTTCGTGTCGATCAAGACAGGTCGGGGGCTCATGCCGGCCGTGAGCTCGTCCACCATGCAGTAGTCGACCGAACACACCTTGCAGAGCGACTGGGTCACAATGAAGTCGGGCAAGAGCGACTGGAGAAGCTCGAGGCGCACCGAGTAGAGACCGACGCCCGTCGAAAGCTGCGCGCGCACCTGCGCATCGACCTCGGCAGACGTGGTAAACTTGATCTGGGACGCCGTAAGCATGGGCACGCCGGCGACAAGAGCCTCGGGCCAGTCGCACTCGTGGGACCGCCCAACGAGCTGCGCATGGGGCGCGCCCGCGGGGTCATCTTCGTCGAGCTGGCACAGGACGTAGTACACGAGCTCCGTCGCCGACGGCAGCAGCGACACGATGCGCAGCGGGGCCATCAAGCTTCGGCAATGGCCTTCTTATTGCACTAAGATCGCCACGTTCTCCTTGTCACTGCGCTTTTCAGTCGAATATTGAGGGAATTACGCCATATATGTTCCGTAACTTGTTAATATACCCTTCCTGTCTCTGGCGGCACGTAGGGGGATTTACATGCACTAGATGCTATGTCAGCTGTTTTGAGAGAATGACTCGTCGATCATCTCCCTCAGAACAATGCAAAAAAATCAAAATGCGAGCAATAACGCGCCAAAGCGCTTCGTTTCATTGGTGGTCAACCTACTGCTCTCTCTGCGAACACTCTACTAAAGCTCTTTATAAAGGAATAGCTCAAAGCAACAATAAAAATACGTGTAGTTCAATATAAAAAGCAAGATAAGTTTGTACCTCGAGTATAAAATTGCTGGCGCCCACCGGACGCGATCGGAGTTGGCTCAAATTCAAGATGGCTCTATACCGCGCGGCCCAGAAGCATGTCCGGCTCATGGACATCGACGTACTCCTGAGCGAGAACGAAGGGAGCGACGACGTCCAGGTGGCCAGCGACCTCAGCGAGGACGAGGCCAGCGACGCTGACGAGGCCGATGAGGCTAGCGACGACGACGAGGCCAGCGACGCCGACGAGGTGCCGGCGCACGAGACGGCGGCGGCGCGCCGTAGCCGCGTGCAGCAGCTCATTGCCGAGAGCAGCGACGACGAGTCGGACGCCGAGGCGCCGACGCCGCTGAAGAAGACGAAGAAGAGCGCGTTGGCCGACGACTCGGACTCGGACGCAGAGGAGGTAGAGCGGCCGTCGTTCCTGGACGACTTTGTTCCGACGACGTTCGAGAACGGCGCCAACGGCTTTCGCTGCAAAAAGTGTCCCAAGATCCAACTCCAGAACGAGAAGGACGTTGTGAGCCACCTCCAGAGTAAGAAGCACCTGCGCAACGCGATCACGCCCGAGGAAATCGAGAAGCGGCGCGCGGCCAACAAGCGCAAGCAGCTCAAGCGCAAGCTCAAGCGCGAAGCCGCCGGCGAAGACGGTGCGTCCAAGAAGAAGAAGAAGATGGAGGAAGCGGCGGCCAAGAAGGCCGAGGCCGAGGCCAAGGCCCCGAAGAAGACGACAGACGATGCCAAGGCCGCGCCTGCGAAGAAGGCCGCGCCTGCGAAGAAGGCCGCTGTCAAGACGGCTTCTACCGAGAAGGCGCCTGCGATGAAGGCTCCGGCGAAGAAGGTTGCTGCGAAGAAGAAGGCCCCGAAAGCGTAAATAAGAACTAATAGATCCAAGTCCTCGGGTACAGTAGATATTGAACGTCCATATATGGACATGAGAATCTGCCGCCTCGGTGTCCTTAGACACATTGTGTGCAAAGTTGGCTAGACGAGCTCTCGTATCAAGGACATATCAAGGTCATGGATGCATTATGAATGGTTTAGGTACGACGATGGACATGCTCTGCCTTTATGTGACTTTGGACAGCGAAGAGTATCAATCTATCGAGCGCCTCACTTGATGGTGACCGAGGTGTTTTTGAGAATTTTGATGTTGTACACGAGGCTCGTCACGTCGTTGAGCATCGGGTCCAAGAGGTGGATGTTGGGGTCGCCGTCCTGGACGACCAAGTACGACGTGTCGCGGAGGTCGTCGTTGCCGATGCCTTTGGCGTCGACCTCGTCGTGCTGCATCGAGTGCGCCGTGTTCTGCAGCGTGGTCTTGGCGACACGCTTGTTGCGCATCTCCTTCTCTGGCAGCCCAAAGCACGTGAGATGGCTCATGAAGAACCACTGGAGCGTGCTGAGGCGGCGCGCGCGGCAGAGGAGAAGGGCGCCGCCTGCCTTGCCCTCGGCCTCGACTTCGATGCCGTCGAGGTAGTCGCAGACGATCGACGACGAATTGTACATCGCTTGGCGCGCGAGCGAGTGCTTCCGCAGCAGCTTCCAATGTTTAAAGTTCCAGAGATGGTCGAGCGCCGTGATGAGGCCGAGGTTGACGAGCATGCCGAGCACGATCGAGCCGGCGACTCGGATGTAGAAGCCGTCAAAGACGTCGACGCGGAGACCGTCGAGCTTCTCGACCGAGTTCTTGAGCGCGATCGACGTATTGTTGTTGTACTCGATGAACGGCGGCATGTAGATGAGGAGGACGGCGCTGAGGTACAGCGACGTGACGCTGCTCAAGTTGAGAGAGCCCATGACCGCGCTTTGGCCGTTGTACGAGACGGTGCCAAGGAGGTTCCAGAGGATCTTGCAGATCTTGAGGACGGCGCAGTTGACCCAGAGAAGACGCATGCTGCAGCAAAACATCTGCAGCGAGTAGAGAAACTGCGGGCTCAAATTGTTGTACAAGTTGACGTTGCGCATAAAGATAAGGCAGTTTTGAATGTCGAGGAGGACGCTGACCGCGTAGCTAAACACAAAGATGTCCGAGTTGTAGCAAAACATATCGTAGCGGAGGGCGTGGGACGCATGGGGAAAGTACTTTGGCGCGACCGTCCGCAAGACCCGCGCGGCGAACGAGTCGGACTTGGTGATGTCGACCTCCTGCCACTGCACGGTCCGGCGGCTCGCGAGGTACCCGCCGACGCCAAAGAAGATACCAACGAGCTTGACATAGAGCGCGATGACGCCAAATGTGCTGTTGGTCATCATGAGCCCGACGTTGTAGACTGACCCGTCGACAAAGGAGCTCTTGGCAATCACGACCTTCTTTTCGGTCGCATTGTAGCTGTACGTGACGTTGCAGACGCCGTACCCGAGCTCTGCGACCGGGTCGCAGCCCGAGCAAAAGTTGCGCGGGAAGATGCGGTAGTACTTCATGACAAAATTCTGCGGCGTCGCCGTCGCGTCCAGCAAGAGTTTGGTCGTGAAGCGCATGTCGACAGCCGACCGCCCCGCAAGGTACCCGCGCTCGATCAGTGCGTCGCTGCGCATCGATGTGTTGCCGACGTTGCTGGTCTCGTCGTCGGTGAAGGCGTGCGTGATGGCATTGCCGCGGTAAAACGTGATGGTGTCCTGGACGAGCGCCAAGCGCACGTTCGTCGCTACGCTCAAGTCGATAGCGTACTCGCCTTGAAAGATCGGGCAGAGGTTCGTTGCTGGCGTCAGCGGGAACGACCCGGCCGAAATGACGTAGATGCGGTCGCTCTTCGTCACGAGGTTGGTCACGGTATAGTTGGCCATGCGCGTGCCGGCGTTCGAGATGGAGCTCAGTGACGCGCCCTTCAAGAACGTGTACTGGTCGCTGAGGCCCTCGAGCGTGTCGCTGGCGACGAGCGGCGTCGTGAAGAAGAGGCCGTTCCCGAGGAAGTGGTTGAACGCCCAGTTGTTGACGATCGAGTCGGCGGCGATGAGGACGATGACGAGAAGACCCGCAAGCGAAATGCTATGCTCGTACAGGCGCGCCGCCCGCTCCGCCCAGACCGGCGGCATCGCGCCCACGAGGTACGCCCCCGCTGGCATCCTGGTTTCTGCCCGGCCTTTCCCAACGGTCGCCCTCAAATAAGGGCGTAACCGCCATCGAATCCTAGAGTGGAAGCTGCAACGTCCTAGACTTGAAGTGGCGACATGCAAAAGACATGTATTGGCAAAACGAGCTTAGATGGCGCCGTAGCTCGTCGGCGTCGGTTCGTCCGTCTTCTTCTTCTTGGTGGCCTTGACCTTGGGCTTGTCGGCGACCGGCGCGGGCTGCAGCGCCGTCACCTCGTTCGCGACTTCGTTCCCGAGGAGCTTGTGCACCTCGAGACCGGACGTGAACGCCGAGTTGAACATGACGCGCTGCTGGAAGGCAGCGAGGAAGGGCATGAACATCGAGATGAAGAGGATCGGGCCAAAGACGATCCAGCCAATGACGATGTCAAAGCCCTTGGCGATGTTGACCATGATGACGTGGTGCTGCTTGAGGCGGCAGATCGTGTACTGGAGGAACCAGTAGAGCACGAGTGCGAGGATGACGACGATCTCGGCGAGGTGCGTCACGGACAAGTACATGAGCGACCCGATCAAGAGGATGAGACCGATTGCCGAGAGGTTGAACTTGATCTTGCGGAGCTTGCGCTGCTTCATCGTCATCTTCTTGGTCACGCGGCTCGCCACGTACGCGACGCACGCAAAGAGAATCAAAAAGACGACGCTGGCGCCGGCGAGGATGTACGGGAGCATCGGGTTGCCCTGCGCGACGGTCGTGTGCTGGTCCTTGTAAAAGAGGCGGTACGCGAGCTGGAGGTACAAGCCAAACGCCACGAGGAGGAAGCGCGTCTTGCGCACAAACATCACGAAGCGCGAGAACGCCGTCGAGTGCTCGAGGTACTCGAGCTCGGCCGACCACCACCCAAACCACGACTCGGCCGAGTCGTTTTTCGTCTCGAGCCAGTTTTGCCAGTCGCGGTAGCCGGCAATGACAAAGTCCCAGTCGAACGCGCTCGGGTTGAAGATGAACGGCGACCAGACCCACGTGGCCGCGATGAGCCAGAGCGAGTAGCTCATGACGCCGTAGTTCTGGTTGGTCGGAAGCACACACTGCTGGTACCAGTTGGCGTAGCAGCGCGCCTGCCACTCGTACGGGAGCGGCTCGACGCCGTTGTAGAACGTAATGTCCTGCTGCCACGAGCAGTTGCACCAGTTGAACGTGCCGTAGATCGCAAAGAGCACGAGCAAGAACATGAGCTCGACGCCGCGGTAAAAGTGGCTGAACGCGTAGAACCGGAAGAGCTCGGCGAACTTCTCGTGCTTGATCGTGAAGCCGCGACCGGTCGCGCGGTACTTGGCGCCGCCGTGGATGAGCGTCCGGTCAAAGTAGTGCATGCGGTTGCCCATTTGGAACGTAAAGAAGAGCGGCCCGAGCGTCATGACGTTCCAAAAGAGGAACGTGATACCGTGGCGGAAGCCGCGCTCGACGCCGACGACACCAATGACGGGCACGACCAGCAAGAAGCCAAACTGCAGCGCCCACGACGTGTTGAGGACGCCCGAGATGCCCATGCGGCCGAGCTGGAGGTAGAACGCGTCCATACCAGAGAGCGCAAAGTAGATCTTGCCGTAGATGAAGAAGTAGACGCCAAAGACGGTCATCGTCTGCGTAAAGTACCAGCCGAGGTTGCCGTAGAACCACGAGTTGAGGCGGAAGAAATCGAGGCGGTTGGCCATGCGCATCACGTCCCGGGACGTGACGCACTCGCCGGCGCCGGACGAGAGCTTGGCCTCGAAGAGCGCGAGCTGCTGCATGCCGACATCGCGGCCCTTGCCCACTTGGATGAACTCTTCGTGCGAGACGCGGCCGCCGCGGAGCGTCGAGTTGAAGCCGGCGAAAATGTCCTCCGAGAGGTTGATCCCGCGCGACGCTTTGGCCGTGCCGCCCGTGCCCATGGCGAACATCTTGTCGAAGATATCCGGGTGCCCGTAGTGCTGGCGCACGTAGTTGTGCGCGAGCATGCGCTGGCCGAGCGAGACGAATGAGAGCTCCTGGATCTGCATGAACGACGCGAGGTTCGAGACGGCGCCCGTGAAGACGTACTCGCGGAAGCCGATGATCGTGAGCGGCGAGTTCTTGTGCTCCGGTCGGTCGACGGTCGCGAGGAGGTTGGGCATCTTGAGGCACTCCTCAAAGTAGCCGTCCTGGTTCATGTCGACGCACTGGATGAGCTCGCCGCGCGAGAAGACGACCGCGTGGTTCTGGTTCTCCGGCTTGCCTTCGCCAATGATCGGGTCGCCCGGCAGCTCGATGCGGTAGACTTCCGTGACCTTGTCCTCGTCCTTGGTCGAGCGCACGAGACACGAAAAGTACTTGGGCGGGCCCTCCTTCATCTTCTTGGGCCCGTCGACGTACGCGACGCGGAGCGACGGGTGCTTCTTGAGGAGGTAGTCGATGTCCTTGGCCTGCTGCTTGTCCTCTTCCTTCTGCTTGCCGTAGATCTGGCACGTCACGACGTAGTTGAACTTGAGCGCGACCATCTCATCGAGTTCCTTGTTGAGCTCATCGGACGCCTTGTGGTGGCCGAGCTCGAGCCAGTAGAGGAACCGGATCGCTTCTTCGTTGTACATCATGCCGCGGATCGTGCGCGCGAGCGTCTGGCCGCGGTACGACGCCCAGAGCTGGACTTCCTCCGGGCTCTTGGCGATCGCGTCCTTCTCGTTCGAGACGCCGAGACGCTCCAAAAAGTGCTCCCACTCGTCGCGGTACACCGTCTGCAGGTAGTAGAGCAGCTTGGTCTCGCCGCCCTTGCCCTCCGTCACGAGGAGGTCCTTCATCGAGTACAGGACGATCTCCGAGTAGTACGGCGTCGCCACCGAGAGCGAGTGCATCTTCTTCACCGACTGCGCGTCCGGCATCTCCATGAAGAGCGAGTTGGAGAAGAACCGGAGGCGGCGCTGGCCCTCTTCCGAGCGCGGCTCCGCGTCAAAGTTGTCGACCGTCAACAGCTGGTACGCGCGCGAGACGATCGCCATGGTCTGCTTGTCGCTAATGAGCGCGTTGAGCTGACGAGTCGCATACTCGTGCGTCGGGTCGGCCGCGATAAAGAACGAGTTGGGCTTGAGCGGCGTGTCGTTGAGCACCTTGGCGAGCGCCTCCTGCTTGGAGAGCACCTTCTTGAGCTGCACGAGGAGCTGCTCGACGGCGTCAATGACGCGGTACAGGGCGCGCTGGAACGTAAGCGAGTCGCTTTTCGCAGCTTTCGGCGCATCGGCGATCGCCTTCATGGCCACACTTGCGGCCGTCCGGAGCGCGTGGAGGCCCGAGACGTTGAGGCCCTTGAGGATCGCGTGCGTGTGCACCGCCTCCTCGATAAAGTCGTAGCACGGCGCCATGTCGGCGTGCGCGTCGCCGAGCAGCACCTTGAGGACGCGGACCGTAAACTTGTACGAGCCGAGGCAGGCTTCGATGCGCAAGTCGTCCTTCTTGAGACGCTCGCGCATCGCGGCTTCGACCTTGTCGAGCGCCGACTCCTTCTTCTTGTCGCTCTTGAGCTTGTCGTAGATGGCCGCGCAGTCGGAGATGATGTCGAGGGACTCGTCGAGCTTCCCGGCCGTGAGGAACGCCGGCGGATACAAGCGGGCTTCGTCCGTGTCGTGGCCGTCGATGAGGTAGCTCAACACGTTGAGTTCGCGGTTGTTGATGACGTCGGCCTCGCGCATCGAGCTCAGACAGCGGTTCCACGCCATCGCGAACGGGTACACGCGCTCAAACTCCTTGCCGTCAATACCAGAGACGTGCCCGAACGACTTGTGCATCGAGATGTTGGTGAGCGCGTCCCCGCCTTGGTACAGCTGCGCCTTGATCTCGAGCGCGTGCTCTTCGGCGGCCTCCTTCTCCTTGGCCGACACCTTCTTCTTCTTCTCTTCCTGCTTGGCCTTCGAGACCTCGACCTCGGCGTCATTGGGCACGAGCTTCTTGTTGAACATCTTGGGAATCGACTTGAACGCTTGGCGCAAGATGCGGAACGAGCGGAGCTCGCCAATGCGGAGGTTGAAGCCGCGGATCGAGCCAAAGACGACCGAGAACATGGCGTAGAAGATCTGGCAGTCGTAGAAGAAGACGATGACCGCCGGCAGCCAGAGGAACACGATGTAGATGATGTTGTGGTAGCTCTTCTGCACCATAAAGTGCGACACTTGGAGGTACTGCGTCGGGTCCGAGAGCCAAATCATGAGCGACGTCTCGACGAGGTTCTTGACCATGAAGTTGTAGTCGAAGAGGAGCTTGACGGTGAACATGAAGAGCCAGAAGCAGCTGTAGCGGCACCACGCCGACCACGGGACCGGGAGGTTCCGGCCCACGTACCCGATCAAGAGGCCCGAAAAGAGGCGGTTGACGACCTCGCCCGCGACAAACAAGGCAAAGACGGCTGCGCCACCGAGGAAGATGAGGGGCCCCATGTCCGTGCGGCCAAAGTCGACGAGTCCGAGCAAGAACGCCGGCAGCTTGGTCGGCATGTCCGTTGCCGGGAACGTGCACGCGGCGCAGTTGAGCTTGCCGTTGCCGGCGTTGTTGATGACGTCGAGCGCCGCCTTGTAGTACGCTGGCATGCACGTGGCCTGGTCGTACTTGATGCTCGAGATCGCGCTCGGGTCCGAGAGGTCGTAGACGACCGACGTGCCCTTCTGCGAGAAGCAGTCCTTGAGCGTCTCGAGGTAGCAGCTGCAGCGACCGCCGAGGAGCTCGAGGCACGGCTGGAACGGGATGTCGGCCATGAGCATCTTCATGTCTTCCGGGAGGTACTGGAACGTCGTGTACGGCACGTAGTTGGTCACACCGAGACACGTTGCGAGCTTCGGGAGGTTGCACGTCTCGACCTCAAAGTCGTCGTTCATGTTGTACGAGAGGCGCGGCTTGTAGTAGAGCTTCCCGAGGATCGTGGCCTCCTTCCCGAGGTCCGGGCCGTACATAATGGGCGACTCGGGGCAGTAGAGCGTCACGTTGACCGCCAAGCCGACCGTGGCGATGAAGAGGCAGAGGTTGAAGAGGAAGATGCGCCGGAACGACCAGAGCGCACGGACCCACGACCGCGTCTCGACGAACGTCTTGGGCGCGTCCTGGGGTTGACCCTTCTTGTTGAGCGACCCGAGCGCCGTCGCGATGTTGGTCGCGTCAAACTTGAGGCACTTGGCCGTCCAGAAGAACTCGTTAAAGTCGTCGTAGTTTCGGATCTCCTTGTGGGGCGCGCGCTGCCCGAGCGGTGTCTTCTTGTCGTTGTCCTTCTTGACTTCGGCGTAGATCGGGCGGATGATCGTCGCGAGGTACGTCCCCGCTTCCTTGGGCGACGAGTTGGGCGTCGCGGTCGGGAGGAGCGAGTGGAAGAGGAAGCAGAGCAGCTCCGGCGTCTGGCGGAAGTTGCCGGCCTCGCCCCACATGAGGAAGAAGAGCACAATGTCGACAAGCGGCTCCTTGGAGAAGGCCGGCGTCTGCTTGAGGTACTTGCACCACTTGCCGTAGTTGTCAAAGAGGCGCGTGTGCAGCTTCTCGATCGCGAGCTTGGTGGCCTCAGCCGCGTCCGCAGGCAGCGGGGCCACGACGTCGGTCTTCTTGCTCTTCTTGGACGACTCGAGCGGCGTCGCGAGCGGCGTCTCGAACTGCTCCTTGTAGTTGGTCAGGAGCAAGGTCACGTGCTCGCGCTGGTTCTTGACGTTGTTCTCCTGGAAGCCAAAGATGTTCTTGAGCGACTCGAAGACATTGCCATGCGTCGGCGACGTCATGAGCGCGTTCGTCACGGGCGAATACCGCGCCGGGAGGTTCTCCATGTCGAGGATGTTGTAGCGCGCGGTGGCGCCCTTCCCGTCGCCCTTGCCGCGCTGGCTCTTGATCATCGTCATGTATCGGCCCATCTTGTTGGCCAAGCGCATGCTCGCTTCCTTCTCTTCGTGCGAGAAGTCCATGGCGAGCGCCCGCTCCATGACCTCGATGGCCGAAGCGAACTCCTTCTCCGCGGCCGCCTTGTCCTCGCCGCTCTGGGCGGCGACGCCCGCGTTCACGTGCAGCATGGCCTCGTCGTAGAGCTCCTTCTGCGTCTCGAGCGCAGGACTCATGGAGCTCATCTTCACAGCTGCTTGCCCGCTCGACGTGAAATTCCAAAGTGGATCCCAACCCACTCAGGAGGCGCCGGATACCGCGTATCCGGACGAGCCCCAGGTTGAACTTTCAACATGACTTGGTGTTTGTATGGCAAGGGGTGGGGGGGCCTCAAATGACAACCCGCACAGCCCGATCTGCGATGGCGGCTTCCTCGGCCGTCCCTCCTGCCTGCGCGAGCAGGATCGGCAGGCAGTTTGCACCGAGGCCAAGTACTGTACGAGCCATGCAGAGATGACGAAGGCTCTAGTTGGTTGCGATGAGCGGCAAGCCAGCCAACGCCGTCGTCGCCTGGTGAATCTCGCAGCCACACTTCTGGTTTGGATAGAAGTGCATCCCACTCTGGTTGGCTCAGCCTCGTGGCCACCAGATACTACGGTACGGATCGGGTGGTCTGCCGTTTACGTCCAGACGCGGTGCGAGGAACGCGCTTCGAGTCTGTAGGAGGAGCTCGCGTGTACCGAGTCTGCACTGCGACCGATTCTGTGCTGAGTCCCTCGAGAGCGAGGCGATATGGGGTCGTGGCCGGCCAGATGTATTAAACTGAGCCAATCGAGCGTGTCGGGGCGGGGTGGGGGGTCCAAAACAGCGGCGTGAGAGGTGATAGCGACCACAGAATATCACTCGGTCGCATATCCGGGCGCCACGGCCGACGCATTTCGCAGCGGGTGGCCGCAGTTGCCGCGACGGACGACGACGATCAAGCGGCAAATAAGCTTGGACGACCACGATCCAGAGCTTCAAGCGATCCAGATCTTAGTGCGCATATCCAGGAAGCGTGCTACGACTCGCGCGATGCAGCAGTAGCGCTTGTCCATGCGACCACGACGTCGCGGCTGCGCTCGCTGTGCTATGGAGGCACCCAGCGACTTTGCCGGTCATGTGCTGCGAGAAGGGGTGCTGTCGATTAGGATGTTGCCACTGCCGAGGTACGGCGTGGTGAGCCTTGGCCTTGAACAGACCAGCGTCCAAACCTCTGAAGCGTGGTGGGTAGCACTACGGGTCCTTGGCCGCCGCTTGTCGGCCCACAGTCGTAATCTCTTTCGGTGTAGATCGCCCATGGCCCACAGCCTTGGCCATTGGCGTGTACGAGTAACCAGCGATGCGTCAGGAGCTCCCATGGTCGCTCTCGCCCATTGCTCGTGGCCTCGGCAGTGTGGGATGCGCCCGTTCATAAGTACACTCGTCACCGTGCGAGCGATGAGGCCGACGCGCAGGAGGGTCTCTCGGGCAGGTCGACTGAGGACAGGGACGCGTGGTGGACATAAGTAGTGTTATCGCAAAACGCAAGTTCGTGTTTACGGTTGCAGTCGTGCTCTCCTTCCTGCTTTGCGTGCGGCCGTGGCTACACCCAACCCTTTCGATCGTCGCCAAACTCAATTTACATGAGGTCGACGAAGGGCTGGGGCGCGAGCGTCGTGGGGATCACACCCTTGGTCTTCAAGGTGTAGGCGCCCTTGGGCTGCGCGGGCAGACGCTTGATCTGGAGGCGGACACCCGTGACGCGGGCCTCCTTCTTCTTGATTTCGTTGGCCTTGACGCGGTCGAGGAAATCCTGGCGGCACTTGGAGGCGTGCACGTGCTCCACGCGCACGTTGATGTGCTTGTGGATGATGCGGTTGCCGACCACCTTGTTGACGCGGACGCCGACGGCGCGCTTCGTCACGTTGTACACGCGGCCGGTGCGGCCGTGGTAGAACTTGTGGGGCATGCCCTTGTGGACCGCGCCGTTGGCCTTGACATCGACGTAGTCGCCGACCTTGAACGTGCGAAGGTACGTCGACATCTTGATCATACCGCGCTGGCGGAACGAGCGGGCGAACATGTGGCGCGTGCGCGCGCGGGTACCAAAGGAGTGGGGCATCTTACTACACACACATACAGCTCAGCATCATCCTGCCTCTCGCATCTCCATGGCGCCTTGCCCATGACGTCGTCTACCTGAAGCAAAGAAGGTTTTACGAAAGTAAATGACCCCGGTTGCCACCGCCCGGATTCGCTCCAATTGATTGGTCACCAATACTTGGACCGCGGACCACCAACAATAGGACGGCGCCGGATACGCCGATTTGTACGGATATCCCGCCCCCCGATTGGCTCTTGCACTTCACCCGAAATAGTGTGTCCATCCCCCAGCGCCCGCATCGACCCGTGCAAGCGTTTGGCGGGCTGCTGGCCATGACTAGGATATGCCCATGCGTTACTGCATTGATAGAATGTGCGCGCAGGCCGCAGGCAGCCTTCGGTGCCAAGAAAAAAGGATTCAAGGGTACCACATAACACTATTTCATGTAGATTGGTCACGATGTAATATTTTGGATATTTTTTAGCGGGCGCAACACCGATATAGGTCCCTGACGTCGACTGCGAAGAGACGTGCCGCAGCATCGACCTCATATATAGGGGTAGAGGCAGTAGGTCTGTGCTTGCACTGCGATCGCGTGGCGCTGTCTGGACGGCCCGCAGAACCGAGGTGAATGTCTTGGTTTTTGTATGCTGCAATAAAATGGACTAACGTGTTCTTGTATCAAGGGAATACGCTGGCACCGATAAACCTCTTTAATGTGATACGCGTATGCAGTGTGACAGGTTTGGACCAGGGGTACCGGACTCGATCGATCCCGCGGTCGAGCAGCAGCAGCATGGACGAAGAGTACGACGAAGAGTTCGGCGACGACGTCCTGCCCACGGCCGCGCCCACGGCCGCGCCCACGGCCCGCGCCGAGGCGCCGGCTATCGTCGTCGATGACGAAGAAGAGGAAGACGACGAGCCGCTGTACGGGACCGTGACCGTGACGGACGCCGCTGCTGGTGCCGCCGAGGCCACCGCCGCCCAAGACGACGAGGACGAGGACGACGATGAGGATGAGGACGAAGGCATCGCGATCGTGCTCAAAGAAACGGAAGAGTCGCCATCCAAGTCGAGCAAGCTCCGCTTCGTGCGCGGTGGCAACCAGTACGTGCGCGACGAGCATCCGCTGAGCACGCCGCCGCTGCAGCCGCGCAACCCTGGCGACGTACGCCCTTCTCAACCCAAGTATCGGTGGCTTATTTGATACATAGCAATACGAGCCGACGTTCGAGGAGCTCTCGCTGCTCGGAATCGGCGGTCGGCGCACGGCCTTTGACGTCGACATTGACCAGCTCGAAGAAAAGCCATGGCGCAAGCCGGGCGTCGATATCTCCGACTACTTCAACTACGGCTTTGACGAAGCATCATGGCGCGTACGCTTCGCCATCCACGAGTGTCTCTGTGTGCTCATGCGCCGAATGTAGGACTACTGCGCCAAGCAGCTCCAGAAGCGGCGCGAGCTTGCTTATCAAAAGACGCAGGAAAAGGAAGCGGAGGAGAAGGAGAAGGCGGCGGCGGCGCTCAAGGCCGCGTCCGCCATGTCGGACCCTGGTTTCCGCATGATGGGCCAGGGTGGTCCTCGCGGCCCGATGTACCCGCCCCGGGGGCCGCCGCCGCCGTGGCACCAGCCGCCGCCATGGCACATGCGTGCGCCGCCGACGCATCCAGGCGGCTCGTCCGACGATCGCAAAGACGGGTACAAGTCGGGGTCGTCGGCCCGCAACGACAAGTCGTCCCGGAGCGATTCGCGGGGTCGGTCGCGCTCTCGCGGTACGACTCTTGTGACGGTATGTGACAGCTTCTGACGAAATGGACAGACCGTGACCGGCATGATGACAAGCGTCGCGACGATGACAAGCGCCGAGACGACGATAAGCGGCGTGGCGACAGCCGGAGCTCGCGCAGCAGCCGTCGGTCGAGATCCCGGTCGCGGTCCCGTGACCGCAGCAAGCGGGACCGCTCGCGCTCTCGCGACCGCAGCAAGCGCAGCTCGAGCAGCCGCGACTACGACCGCCGACGATAAGCCCATGAACATACACGTATTGCAGGTTGTACGGGTTGGCTGGCGCATGCGAACACACTGTTCGAGGCCATCGCTGCGTAGAATACGAGCGTAGGGCTCTATCACTAGCATACACAGTACACTGCAGCGCCCGTCTCTGGCGCCTGGTGGCCACCACGTGGCAAGCGCGCTCCCACTCTGGCTGAGTCATTCGTCGCCGACCTGCTTCATTTCACATCTTCTCGCATGCGTCCGCTGCAGCTCTGCGCGTCGCCCAACTGCCGCCGGTACGCCAAGGTGCGCCTCCTCTGCCTTGCCCACGCGTCGTCGACAGAGTACGTCGACCCAACCATCCGCCGCATGAACCGCCGGCGCAAGTGCCGCGTCGACTCGTGCTGGAGCTACGCGCGCCTCCTCGGCCTCTGCACGCACCACGGCGGCGCCCGTCAGTGCGGCGCGCCCAAATGCAACACACCGTCGCAGGCCGGCGGCTTTTGCCGGGTGCACGGCGGGGGCGTCAAGTGCCGGGTTCCCCACTGCTCGGACTTTGGCCGCCTGCGCGGTCTCTGCCTCGGTCACCAGCCTCGATCGTCGCCTTCGTGACACACTAGAATCCATACAAGTTGTCATCATTCTGCGTGGTCGTGTTAGAATGTGGTTGCGAGCGGGGGGTACGGGACCCGGCTCCAGACGTCCTCAAACCACCCGCTGTCATCGTCCCCATCGGCGTCATTACTCTTGACGACGAATGTACTTTTTGCTGGCGAGGCTGGCGGGGTCTCTTGGCGGTGGTGGGTGCAGTAGCCGGCGTGGCGGGCGTAGAGGAGGCAGCCCTCGGCCCGGCAGCGTCGGACGCCGCTGTGGGGCAAGCACTTGTTCTTGGCGTGCGCGCGCTTCTCGCAGCCGTCGACGGCGCACGTTTTGGGCGGCAAGACGGACGCGGCGTGGTGAAAGCACAGGTTGCGGTTCCGAGCGTAGCTCTCGCAGCCCTCGACGTGGCAGCGCCGCTTGCCGCCATGCCGGACGCAGCGCTGGCGCGCGTACACTTGGTTGGTGCAGCCGGGCGCGCCGATGCACACGGCGCGGTGGCGGTGGAAGGTGCACTTGGTGCGGCCGGGCGGCGCCGGGTTGGCGCAAAAGAGGCATGTCGCGGCCATTCACACGGTGCAGACGATCGAACGGGAATGACTCAGCAGGCCTAGTAGTGAGTCACCAAGTGAGTCACCACACCAGCTGTCTCGAGTTCAAGCCGCATTGCTCGTGCTCCTCTGTGCTCTCATACTGGCCACCATTCCTCTCTTTGGAAGGGCCATACCCAGAGGCAGCGCCGTCCATAGGCAAAGGCATGCAGAATGTAGCATCGCCTCGTCCATGCAGCATCTCGGGGCCGCCTGTCGTTTGTGCAGCACGGTGGCTTCAAGTCCAGGCCGCGCCATGTCCTAATTTCAAACCAGGATGTCGCTCCAAACACGCGCGATTACACATCGACAGACCAGACGCAAACTCCTGGGAGGATCGCCGCTAGCCAGTTGACGCAAGCATGTACCGTAGCGCCATCGACCCAACTACAAATTGCACAAGACTATTTTCCGCTGCAAAAGAATTAGTTTTATGAATCCACGTCGATGCGCTGCATGCTGGCGTGAGCAGAAGACGGTGGCAACAGCGGTGCGTCGTCGTTGTCGCCACCTCAAGCTTTCGCTCGTTGAAGCTCAAAAAAGCACCGGACCGCGGACTTTGCACTTGCAGTACGAGCCAGCTTGACCACCTTCTTTCGCGTGCCCCTGGACGGGCCACGTCGCTGTCGCCGCCTGTCGCGCGCTCGTGTCTCGGCGCAGCAAGAAGATTCAGCGGTTGCCCGCACCTCGTCGTGTGAAGACGAATGAAGCGGATTAGGTAGTAGCTCAATTGTATTAGTAGATAGATATATAGAGAAAGGACTTGTAAGATGAGGTAGCGCCTCGTGCGCTCATGCAATGATACTAGAATGTACGCTCTAAAAGCGTGTGTTTGCGTATAAATCAAGGCCGGCGCGGCGGCGTCTTGTGGTCGCGAAGGTCCACGGCCGGCATGTGCACCGACTCGGACCGCGTCACGTGCAGGACGTGGAAGCTTGTCTCGTCGATCGCGCAGTCGTCCAAGAGACTGCTCAAAATCTGCGACTCGACCTCGGCGAGCGGTGCGTCGTTGCGCATCGCGACGTCCACAACGTTCCACGCGGTTGGCTCAATGTGCTGCGCCTTGTAGCGGTAGTGCGTCCCGCAGTAGCCCTGCAGCCGCGCCTTGAGGAGGCAGCGGGGGAAGTGGCAGAGCGCCGTGTCGCCGTGCCGGGAGCACTTGCGGCGCTCGCTCACGATCTTGTCGCAGCCAGGCTCGGAGCAGAGCCGGTGGCGGGCGCCGCCATGGCGGTGGCACATGTCGTTGCGGCGCGCGTTGCCCGTGCATCCATGGTACAAGCACGGCTTCTTGCCGCCGTGGCGCACGCAGCGGCCGCGCGCGTACACCTGGTTGTAGCAGAGCGGGTCGCCTTGGCACTTGGCGCGGTGCTTGTGCTTTTCGCATTTTTGGCTCGTGGCGTCCGTCGGCGGCAGGTCGCACCCGAGAACGAAGCAGCGTGACATGGCGAGATTTATCAAAACTGGGGATGGCCTCCGACCCGGAATGCACCGTGGGACGGCGGCGTCAAGCGACACACATTGGTTATAGGCGACAGGCGCCAAATTCTAACGAGCAGCAAGACCTGCGTAACGCGCGGCTACGTCGGTGTTGACGCGAAGACAAGGACGCTCCTCATTTTCTATGGCACGCAGGCTGCGTTGGCAACTCAAGGTGGCCGCGTGGGCAACTCAAGGAGGCAGGCGCCAGTGGTATGCGTGAGCACGCGCGTCTGTTTTGGGGGAACGTTCGGCCTTGCAGTCACGAGCAAAATCAGGATCCAGCGTCTGACGCGTGTAATGACACGTCCGAACTTGGCGACCATAATGAAACCGTTTGGCCGTTGTCGTCCGCGCTGTGGACCGAAGAGAGCGGTGGGCTTACTGAGTAGCAACAAACCTGGCACTTCGAGTCGTCGCTTTGTCAACGCTGCAGAGTGTCGCGACGGGTGGACGGTGTCGCTACGTATTACGTGGCACTCCCACGGCTCTGTAAGCAACGAAGGGTCGCGCCACCACGTTTCTCTACTACACAAGCTAGTTATGAGAATTAGTTTAACCCAGTATACGAACGAGCCAGCGTATATACATATAGACTTCAGGATTTGGTTTGCGGGTCTCTGTACTTGCCGTTGAAAGGTGCATCTGAGTTGCCGTCACGATGGAGGCGAAGGAAATATCGCGACCGATGGCGTCTCACGTCATGTCTGGCGCCACTGTCTCTGCACCTGCGTCCTTCTCGCTGGTACTCGAAGTAGATGCACCGAGACAGTGCCATATCGACAGCACTCGGTTGTGATCACACGATTTCATGCAGGATGCACACTATTTCCGTGCAACAGCGCCGAACCACCGATGAAGGTCGTGGCGCTCGTGAGCGGAGGCAAGGACAGCATCTACTCGCTTCTCAAGTGCGAGCAGCATGGCCACGAGATCGTCTGCCTCGCGACGCTGCAGCCGCCGGCCGCCAACGCCGAAGTCGACTCGTTCATGTTCCAGTCCATTGGCACGCACGTCGTCGCGAGCATCGCCGCCTGCATGGAGCTGCCGCTGGTCATGCACACGCTGCGTGGGCAGTCGCTGGCCACCGAGATGGGCTACGCGCCGACCGAGGGCGACGAAGTTGAAGACCTCTACGCGCTGCTCGCCGAGGTCCAGCGCCAGTACCCCGACGTCGAGGCCGTCAACACGGGCGCGATCTTCTCCAACTACCAGCGCACACGCGTCGAGAACGTGTATGCCAACGCTTGCCCACGACTACGCTAAGCGTATCAACGTAGGTGCGCGCGCTTAGGGCTCACATCCGTGGCGTACCTCTGGCGCAAGGAGCAGGACGAGCTCATGCAAGAGATGATCGACGCCGACTTGCACTCGATCGTCGTCAAGGTCGCATCCATGGGTACCCTCCTCCTCTTCGCCATCGCCCTCATGCGCTCCGTGCTAGGGCTGCATCCGCGCAAGCACCTCGGCCGCTCCATTGCGGACCTCTACCCGACCTTTCTCGACCTCGTACTGTATATCCTTGTCGCTTACACTGTACCAAATTCTGTCTTAGCACGAAAAGTACCAGTTCCATATCTGCGGCGAAGGCGGCGAGTACGAGACCCTGACGCTCGACTGCCCGCTCTTCAAGAAGCGCATCGTCATGTACACACTATTTCTTGTCTCTCAAAAGACTATGGACAATATGTGTCTCTAGTGACGCGGCGCGCATCGAGATCCACGCCGACGACATGTTTGCGCCCGTCGGTCTCTACTGCATCGACGCTCTGCACCTCGAAGACAAGACCGCCGACGCCTTCCCGCCGCCGCCGCCGAGTGCGTCGTCACCGCACCCCGGTGACGCGCCGGCGATGCTTGTGCCCCGCGCGCTGCGCCCGGCCTTGCCGCACGGACGCGCTCGCAGCCGAATCTACCGCAACCAAATCATGGTCTCGGGCCTTACGTGCGCCGACCAGACGCTGCCGCTGCCCGACCAAGTGCACGCGATCTTTGCGACACTCCAAGGTATCGACGCGATATGACAATATTGAGCACAACGTTGAAATACGATGTAGACGAGCTCCGCTTGCACGGCGCGGGCTTGGGCAATGTGCTCTTTGTGCACATTTACGTCCAGGACATGGCGCAGTTTGCGGTCTTGAATGCGGTCTACGGCTCGTACTTTCCGGGTCTCTTGCCGCCCTCGCGCAGTTGCGTCCAAGTCGACATGGCATCCGCCGTCCAGCTCGACTGCCTCGCGCTCCGTGGCGCCGGTCTTGCTTCAATGTTTCAATGTTTCAATTTTTCTCATATTTTTGAAGGCGCGGACCCGTTCCAGCTCACTGCGACGCAGCGCGACGTGCTGTACATCCAGAGCCTCAGCGAGTGGGCGCCCATGTGCATTGGCCCGTACAGCCAGGCGACGACGGTGCGTCATTCTTGATTCATATATTACAGTATCGCCTCAGGATGTATATAGATTGCACGGAGTGTCGTGTGCTGCGCCGGACAGATCCCGCTCGTGCCCGAGACCATGACGCTGCTACCGTCGACGTCGCCGACCGCCAACCTCCACCTCGTACGACGTTGCGCATATGAATCGTATCCGAGATTGTGCCGTAGAGCTTCCGCAACGGCGTCCGGGTCCTCGAAGCCGTCGACTCCAACTTGCGCCACGTCGTCTCGACGCTGGTCTACCATACGTACACGTCCGGCGTCGGCGGCGCGCTCGCAGACTTGAGCCGCGAGCAGCTGCAGGCCAACGCCGCCCATCTGGACGCGTATGCGCACGACCTCGACAGCGACGAGAGCGACGACGAGCACGACAAGACGACCCAGCGGCTCGCACTGGCCGTACCTCCTTCGTTATCGCATGTCGTTGCTGACCTAAGAACGTATAGACGCGGTCCCCGATCGCAGTGGTGGCCGTGCCGATGCTGCCCAAGGCGGCGCCGGTCGAAGTCGAGCTCCTCGCACTTACGCACAAGGCGTACGCGACGTTTGCGCCGACGACCTTTCATTGCGGTGCGTCCTGATCGTTGTGGACAGGTTGTCCATCTATATGTATATAGAGTCGGACGGACTACGCAGCGACGTGTCGGTCCTGGCGCGCAAATTGGCAGTCGGGTTTCTCTTTGTGGCGCCGGATGCGACGGGCGACGTGTGCGCAGCGCTGCGCAAGCTCCTCGCGCGCGCGCAGCTGACGTGGCGCCACCTCCTGCACTTGCGCGTCCATCTCGTCCACGACTTTGCACTGCCGTCAGGTATATTTTTGCATTTTTTGGTTGGATATTGATTGATACATTGAAACTAGGACTGGTGGACGTGGATGTGGCGACAACGTTTGTGCCCGTCGAGCACATTGCCGGTGACGCAGCGTGCGTCATCCAGCTGCTGGCGATGGATGCCGATCTGCTCGAGACCGATCTCTGGCTGGCGCGCCAGCTCTAAGTCTCAGTAGTTCATGGCCGCCTTGAAGAGCTTGGCCTTCTCGAGGAGGTAGTTCCAGTTCGGGTTCGCCTTGGTGTTGCTCTTTGTAAAGTCGACAATCACCTTCTTCGCCAACGGACCCTTGTGGTTGGAGAGCATCGCATCGAGGACCATGTCGACGCGCTCCATGTTGTCGACGCGCTTGCAAAAGCTGTCGCGCTCGTCGCCCGCGAGCTCGTAGCAGGCCATGCACGCCGTCTTCATCTGGTGCTTGGACGTCTTCTTGCGGTGGGCGCTGCCATCGTACGCAGCCTTGGTGCACTGCTTGGAGAAGGCGCCGATCCCGCCCATGGTCGCAACAATCTCGAGCCGCTCCGACTTGATGTCGCCGTACTGCACCATCAAGGCGAGGTACTTGGGGTCGCCGCCGTAGAGCCCCGGACAGCGCATCGTCGGCGTCGCCTCTAACAGCGTCGGCGGCTCGATCGGCAGCGCGTGTAGCATCGGCGCGGGGCGCGGCTCGGGCGGCGCAAGGCCGGCGTTCTTGAGGTGGCAGGCGCCGTTGATGTGGCGCTTCCACTTTTTGAGGCCGAAGGCGGCGTCGGCCTGGATGACCGAGTGCTTCCCGGCCTTGTCGACGCAGATGCCGCACTCGATCCAGCGGCCGAGCTCGCACTTGCGCGAGATGCTCAGGTCCTGCTCGACCTCGTCGTCCCACCCGCTGCGCTTGGCCTTGGGCCGGCGGGCCGTCGCGTACGGGTCAAAGTGATACGCCATGGCTCGAATATCTAATATTGGCCCGAGGCCCGTGGTCGCCTATCTTGATCTTTGTATTGCCACGCTCAATATTGGGCTGGGTGGCCAATCACATGCAAGCACAAAGAGCCGGGCCCGGGACCAGACGTTGCATTTAGTCTGAAAACGAATCGACCGGAAATAGTGTTGTCGACCGATCGTCATGCCGGTCTCCAGCTCACCGACACGAGCGGCTTTCTGCGGAGCTCGGCCTCGCTCCTCAACGCCAACAAGGCCGTGGTCGCAACGCTCTCAAAGGACCTCTTCTCATACCATCACACGTACCGTGTCTTCGCCGGCACGACCAAGACGCAGATCTTGAAGCTCCTCGTGCGCAATAGCTGGTTCAGGCTTGTCTGTCGAGGCGACTGGGACACGCAGCTTCTCATCACGTGCGACGACACCGCCGTGGCCAAGATCCGCCCGCCGGCCGCTACATCGACGTCGCCCCCGGCGTTGAGGTAGGCGTCCTCCTCCTCGTGCAATATTTGCCACCGCCGACTGCGAGAGCTCGTGTATCGCATCCACCGACGCCTTAGCGGCCATTGCGGACTCGTGAGGACGCGACAAGAAACATAAATCGCCGTCAGCGAATCCGTGTACTAAGTCTGGACGCCAATCCTACTGCCTCTTGCTCGGGCAGCTCTGGCTTCTACCCGCAGCAATACTGCACTACGAGGTTGAAGCTCGAGCCCAAGCGACGAGGTTGGTCGTTAGATTAGTCGCCGGCAATGACATCTGGCTGGTGAATTGCAATTTTCAAAGCCCTGTCACCGAGACTTTAACGAATAGCACACTTCGTCCCCTTGCGACTCGGCCATGGATACGCTTCTCTGCAACTGACGTGGCGCCACCTCTTGCCTTTGTGCGCTTATCATCGTCACAACTTTGCACGGCTGTTTGGGCCGTCGGGTTCGACGTTTTATCCGTTTTGTTTCGGATCGATACATTGATACTAGCTAGGGCTTGTGGCCATAAGCCATCATGACGTGTGTGTCGGTCGAGCACATATTGCGGGTGATGCGACGGCCCAAGCCTGAGCGCAGCGGGTGGGTGGGACGACGAGGTCGAGCAGGACCCGAGCATCTTGGTCAAGTGCGAGCTCGGCCGCGTGATCCAGGCGCAGCGTCATATGTGATGACACCGTAAATAGTGTTTTAGGTTAAGTTGCTCGTCACGGACCAGGTGCGGCAAAACGGTTCTGTGAGTATATTTACACCCTGGACAACTTTCGAGTCTGCAAGGGTCTTAGTATGGGCGGGACACAGTCGATGCCGGCGGTTGACTCGATTCCGCTGGTCCCAATGCAGCTGGGGGGGGTCCACCCCCAACACGCCTCCGCCGAGGCAGTGACCTACCGATGCGCCAAGGACGGTCTCGTGAATATCGCGACTGGCGCTGCCGGTCTCCAGCTCA